CCCTTTTTTGCCTTTCGCAACTTTTGCTTTTTTTCTTTTGTTCCCCCCCCCCCCCCACCCCCCCTTTGCTCCTGCTCATAAAAGGCAGGTAATATATACATGTAATCATTTCTTCTTTCTCTCATTTTTGGCCGTAAAAGTTCGATTCGTGAATGGGTATTTGGCTTGGTTCGTATGGACGTTGATGAAGGAGGTTTCGAGTTTCTTTTTTTTCTTCTTTTCGATCAGTCTCTGGTTTCTGCGTCCATGTGGCTGGCCGAGGTACTCTTATGACTTGGTTTAAGATGCTGCGGTTGCTCTGGAAGGGTTTCCCTCGTGGGTTTGGCGTGAGGTTGTGTTTTGGCTTCGATGACGCCATTTGGTGATGTCGTTACGCCAGTTGTGTCGGACACAGGATGACGACGTTGATAATCCTCTCGCCACCAGAACAAGGCGTCATGTCTGATACTCTGATGCAAGCTGAAGACGTGCCTGGTTCCACTACGAGCACTGCTTCAGCGTGGCAGCCGCCAGTTTGCGTTGCGCGTCCTCGCCCAGCGCCGCCGAATCCACCTCTTGGATCGCCTGGCCAATCGCCAGCGTCGCCTTGACATTCCCGCCATCCACATGCACAAGCCCGTTCCTACCGACCGTGACTTCAAACCCAATCTTGGTGCCGAGCGTCTCCAGCAGCGGGATTCCGCCGCGCGCAGCCAACATGCGTCGCGCCATGCCTAGGCTGACTTTGAATACCATGCCGCCCTTGAGCAGCCCCAGTCCCTCGCCCTTGCCCGTCGACGGATCCACGCATGTCAGTTCAGACGGTAGGTCCTTGCCCGCGCTTGCGACGCGGCAGTATACCAGAGAGTTGGGAGGGAGCTGTGGCCTGTTCTTTTTGGTTGCGCCCTCAAAGGCGAGGTGCGGGAGTGTCGCAGGCGCCGTGTTGGGCGTTAATAGGCAATTGAAGTTTTCGGCGGCGGATCCATTGACGGTTGCGATGACGAGGTCGCCTGTGTATGGGAGATACTATGGAAGTGTTAGTTGAGAACTGTACAAGGAGAGATGATGGATTGAATTACCCTCCCACTGTTGTATTCGACAGAAGCAGCATTCTTGCGGTTGTCCGTGACGAGCGCGCCGGCAATGGTAGCTGTGACGGTGTCGGGGGGAATGTGTCGCAGGCCGGGGCCAATGGTCAAAGTCTTCTTTTTGCCTGTTCCCTGCGGCAAGGCGCTCTTTGCGATTTCATCGCCCGGCAGCACAATCGTGGGCGACGCAGCCATATTGGCGGGGGGACAAATAAGTGAGCTATGGGGAGGTTGTTTGGTGGTTGTCGCAAAAGCATGTGGGTGAGCTCATTCCGAGGTGAGCCCGTGCGCTTCCGAGAAAAAAGCACCTCCGTTACCTGTGGCCGAACTCTGGAATTTCTTAGCCCGCGAAAAGAAATCCATAAACTCGCGTCTGCGAAACTACTTGCAACAACAACGCCCGCCGCCACCCCGGACGTCTTTTTGTCACTCCGCCCTTGCCCTGTCTTTTCGAAATTGGCTACGGGCTGCTGCTTTTTTGACACTTCGTCTTCTTCTATTTTCGCCTTGATAAAGTCGCCCCCCCGCGCAGGATGAGTGCGCAAGTAGACCCCGCGCAGCGGGTTGCGATAGGAATCTCCTTTGGCAACTCGTACAGCTCCATTGCCTTTACCACTGGCGTAAGTGTCTGCTCTACATCACGACTACTGAGCATTGTTGACATTGAGTAGGATGGTAAGGCAGAGGTTATTGCCAACGAAGACGGAGGTGCGCCGCTTGATGCATGCCCACAGTCTCGCCAATGCTAATCCTGCAAAGACCGCCAGATCCCCACCGCCCTGTCGTACGTCGAGGGAGAAGAACTCCACGGCGGCCAGGCCAAGCCCCAGATTGTTCGCAATGCAAAGAACACGGTCGCGTACTTTCGCGATTTCCTCGGCCAAGAGTACGCTGCCTGACCTTTGTGTGCCGCCAACATGACTGACACGTCTCAGCTACAAGTCGATAGATCCCACGCCATGCCACCAGTCGGCCCACCCCATAGAGCACGAGGACGGCGTGGCGTTTAGCATCCGTGATGGCACAGAGGAGCAGGAAAACACCATTTCCATTGGCGACGTCACTACGCGCTACCTGAAGAGACTACGCACCTCTGCCTCTGACTACCTCGGAAAGGACGTCAACGCCGCCGTCATCACCGTACCCACAAACTTCTCGGATGCCCAGAAGGAGGCGCTCAAAAAGGCATCGTCGGATGCTGGCATGGAGGTGCTGCAGTTCATCAGCGAGCCCACAGCTGCTGTCCTGGCATACGATGCTCGTCCTGGTGCGCAGCTGGCTGACAAGGTCATTGTCGTCGCCGACCTGGGTGGCACTCGCTCCGACGTGGCTGTCGTCGCATCCCGTGGCGGCATCTACACTATCCTGGCCACGCTCCACGACTACGAAGTCAGCGGCTTCAAGCTCGACCAGGTCCTCATGGACCACTTTGCCAAGGAGTTTATGAAGAAGAACAAGTCAGCTGGCGACCCGCGGGAAAACGAGCGATCGCTGGCCAAGCTGAAGCTCGAGTGCGAGGCTGTCAAGAAGGCCCTCTCCATTGGTTCCACAGCAAACTTCTCGGTCGAGTCTCTGGTAGGTGGCATCGACTACACTGCGACCATCAACCGCACCCGATACGATCTCCTTGGCAACAAGCTGTTTGCTGCCTTTGCCCGCCTCGTCACGCACGCGGTTGAGAATGCCAAGTTGGATCCCCTCGATGTTTCGGAGATTATTCTGGCTGGTGGAAACTCGCACACGCCAAAGGTCGCCTCCACCATCAGCTCGGCCTTTCCTGAATCTACGGTTGTTCTGGCTCCTTCCACCTCCCCAACAGCCATCAATCCCTCAGAACTGGCCGTCCGTGGTGCCGCCATCCAGGCCAGTCTCATCCAGGAATTCGAGCTCGAGGACATTGAGCAGAGCACACACCCCATGGTCACCGTTACCCCTCACCTTTCCACCGCCGTTGGTGTCCTGTGCATCTCAGGCGATGAGTCTTCGGGTGTCTTCCACCCCATTGTCGACGCAGAGACATCGCTGCCTGTCCGACGAACTGCGACCATCTCGACCCCACGAGAAGGTGGCGATGTGCTTATCAAGCTTGCCGAGGGCTCGCGACACATCAAGGTCACCAAGCCAGAGCCTAAGCCCAAGGCTGAGAAGAAGGAGGAGGACGAGGAGGACAGTGACGAGGATGACAGCGAAGAGGAGGAGGAGGAGCTCCGGGAAAAGACATGGAAGATTGGTCAGGCGCTCAGCGAGGCAGCAATCCGTGGCGTCAAGAAGGGCGCAAAGGTCGAGGTTCAAATCAACATTGGCGCCGACCTAAGCATAAACGCCATTTTCCGCGAGGTCGGAGGAAAGGGTGGTGTCCGTGGTACGATCCAAGGAAGCAAAGTGAACGGCAGCGCCTAAGCGGAGGACCCGACTTACCCCCCCCCCCTAACAATTCACATTCAACCTCTTGAGCGGGCAAGATCGTATTTTTCTGGTTTAGCCGTTGTCAGCAAAAAGATTAGCTTTCATAGACTTTGCTTGAGTGTTGAATACGACAAATGACTAAGATGACTGAACAAGTTTGCATATTCCTCATCGATTTTGCAGCACCCGAAACCGCGGGCGCATTTTCCGGCCCAAAGGCGTCTCGGCAATCCATTCGCCGTAGTCGAGATTGTGCGTGGTGCCCAGCGAAGCGTAAATCTCCTCGTAATGCCATCGTCCCTCGATCCAATTCTCCCTGTCCAGCTCCTCGCAAAGCAGGTACTCGAGGGCCCCCAGCTCTGCCTCATTCTCCTTGTCCCACTCAGTGCTCGATCCTATACTTACGTAGCGCAGGCGGCCCAGATAGCGCTCGTCCAGCAGCGAGTACAAGTCTGTAGGTGTAAAACTGCGCATGGGATCGCCCTGGCGGCCACTGGATATCAGCGTTAGACTCGTCAGCGGCTTGGCGTCTTGCCAGCGTGCAGGCGAAAAATCCAGCGGCATGTTGCCGAAGCGCGAGTCGATGTAGTCGAGGGCTATGGTAAGCGAAACGAGATTCGGAAGCCAGTCCAGAACGCCATTCAGACGGCCTTGTTTCACGGCGGGCAGGTCCCGCAGCTCCACGTTGGTTAGTGTCGGGGAAAGCGTCCTCAGCAGCGGCTTGATGCCCGAATGGTCGAGCGTCGGACAGTGGTGGATGCTGAGCGAGGAAAAGGTAGGCGGGAAGTTGTTGGGCTGCTGCAGCATGTCCCAGAGGAACTGGCCTGACACGGAGCCGGAGAGAGCGAGGTGCTGCAGTTTTGGGGGCCACCGCAGCATCGATGTTGGGGATGCGGCTTTTTCATAACGCGAGGAGCAGCGCGGGAGGTAGAGTTCGCGCAGTTGAGAGAGCTGCCGAATGGTTTGGTTAAGCGATTGGAAGTCGATGCATTCTGAGACTCTGCCGTAGCTGTGGCGTTAGTTGAAGTATTATCATGTTTTAGTTGTTGATCAAAGTTTTGAGCGTGGTTTTTTTGTTTGTTTGTTTGTTAGTTTGTTCAAGTTTTGCGAAAATTTGTAATTTTTTTTGTTTTTTGGAAATGGACAAAATGCGACTTACAGGCTCAAGTCTAGCACGCGCAATCGGCTGCATTTGCTCAGGCTGGCCCAGCAATTTATCGCGAAACTGGCTTGCGGTGCTACAAAGACTTCGAGAGAGGATTTTGTGCGTCCTAGTAATCTGGCTGTTGTGGATTTGGCGCCTTGATGGACAATGTGAGATAGATCCAGTTCCTTGACTAAGCCCGATAATGGCGATGGCTTTTCGGTTCGTCAGTCTCTTTGCGTGCGTGATGTCGAGTGAGACGAGTAGAGGGTGAGGAGATATTACCTTGATGCGTGCATTGACAGAGGGACTTATGGTGCGGACAAAGAGGTCATATCCGTGTCCTTGGAGAAAAGGAGCTTCGTACAGTGGCTGTATGGCAACCTGATAGTTGGAGTAAGCGGTGAGTGAAATGGGTAAGCCATCTATACTCGACTGCAGCATACATCATACCATTGCCTATACGGTCAGCCCACGCAGAAAGCATGCAGGTCATGGCATACCTATTCACGGCGGAGAAGCGAGCCAAGGTGATTTGCCTCTCGAGTCTGTCCCACGCCTCGAAGTGGCCGAGGATCTCAAGCAGCAACTCATCCGGCAGGTAGTTTGCATAGTTTTCCGGATCCAAGGTAGTCATCTTGGCTTACTGAGCTGAGTGCTATATGTGGATCGATTCTATTATGCGAGAGATGTTGCTGATGAGAGGGTCAGCGCAAAGGTGCGGTTGGGATGACGCACTAGTGCATTTGCGCTTATGTCCTTGCTAAGGCCGAGCTTGGAACATTAACGCGCCGCCGTACCTCGAACCACACATTATTCATCCAACACACATATGCACAGCCATCCACACTGCCTTTGAGGCTGAAGAATCCTTTCAGTCATCTACTCAGCAAAACCGAAGGCATCAGCTCCTTCACCTGGCCAGGTGATGCGGCCGGCTCGGATCCGACAATTGTCTACAGGCATTCAAACAAAGTCTCTTCACAGCCTGCGCTCCCGGTCCCAGGCCCATGGACGGGATTCTGAGACCTCAACAGGCCCCTCGACACGATTTGATTTTACCGACAAATACTACCATGACTAACAGAATCCCAGTCTTAACGGCTGTTATCGCGCTGTATCCGTCGGCCCTTTTTTTCGCTACTTACCAGCCCGGCCCTCTAGTCCTTTAGTTGCTTTGTTCCCGCGTCAAGCACTAGCACAGCATAAACGCTCCCGCAGCTTGCTTAGCGCCGCTCAGCATTCACCGTGGTTGGACAATGTTCCATGCCTATGTTTCTCAGTTGTGAAGACCGCCATTGCACACTGAGATTGTTCGAACCGCCCTTGGCGGTGGCCCTATATTTAATTATTCCAAGCCCCCAGCCCCATGCTTTCCTGCAAATAAACTTTACTGGCTGTGCGACACACACTCGACCTGATCCTTAACTTTTAGCTTGCGACTAGCTGATCGGCATTTCCTACAATATAAGCCACGTGCCTGGTGCATATTAACGCCCGACATCCATTCCTTTGACTCTCTTTTTTACGACTCCCGACTTTCTTTCACCATGAGGATGCCTCTGGCCGCGCTGGCGGTATTGGGATCTGCGGTTGCACAGCGCCTCATTACAGCATCCTATGGCACCGACACGCGTCCAGGAACAGTCGCTACTCTCGAACTCTCATGTGATGGCGCCAACCGCAAGTTGAAGGTTATAAACGAGAACCACGAATGCGGAGCCCTGCCTACATGGCTGGATACATCTCTCAGCCCGACTACAGTTATTTGTCTGGATGAAGCCGCGACCAATGCCGCCTTGACGACGTTCAAACTCAAGTCCGATGGCAAACTCAACAGAACATCCAGTGTGCCTGCGCAGGGTGGCGCCGTAGCCATGGCAGCCTACAATAACAAGTCGGCCATAGCACTCGCTCATGTACGTCCATGTCATTCTCCCAACCCCTTGCTCACATCCCCTTGCTAATCTCATGCTGCTAGTTTGGCCCCCAAGCCGCAATCACAACATTCAAAGTGCAGCCGCACAAGCCGTTTCAGCACCTGCAAAACATGACTTTTGGCCCGCCTGAACAGATCCACCAAGCCGTCCTTGATCCCACCGGCCAATACCTTGTCTTCCCGAGTCTGGGCGCCGATCTCGTCCACGTCTACAGCATTGACGCCGCAACCAACCTGCTCACTGCGCACGAGCCGCTGAAATCAACAAAAGGCTACGGCCCGCGCCACGCCGTCTTCTGGACGGCCAGCCCCACCGGCACCACCTATCTGTTTGTCGTGCACGAGCTCAGCAACAAGATTGTGAGCTACAAGGTCGACTATCTCGCGCAGACGGCCGGCCTGAACTTCACCCAAGTCGACGAAGTCAGCACCTACGGCAACTTTTCCGTCCCGGCCAAGACATTTGCTTCGGAAATCGCCCTGTCGCCCTGCAACTCGTTTGTCGTGGCTGCGAACCGCAACGGCACTATTTTCACCGTCGACAACCCGGATGCAACTAACAGCACCAAACTGCCCAGTGACTCGATTGTCACGTTCAAGCCCGCGCCAGACGGCAAGCTGGCGTTTGTGCAGCTCGCAAAGTCGGGTGGGTATTATCCGCGCCACTTCAACATGAACAAGGATGGCTCCATGATTGCCGTTGCGAATCAGAAGAGCCAGAATGTCGTGATTTACGAGCGTGATGTGCACACTGGGCTCATCCATGATGCCAAGGAGGTGGCTAGTGTGCAGGGTCTTGGGCCTGGAGATCTCATGTAAGTATAATTGATCCTTGGAATTCCTGAATTAGTTGCTAACGGCTGTCTAGGTATGTCCAGTGGGTAGAATCATAGATCGTCAGGGGGGTTTGATGCAATTCATTGCGTGTAACAAATAGCTTGATTGTATGTATTTTGTACATTTTCAATGATACCATGAAGGTAGACTATGTGAATCTAAATGATGACATGGCTTTCAAGAAGACATTTGCTTGCCTTGTTCCTGGGAGATGGCCCATGCCACGGCGTCCCACACATCACCCACTATCTTGCGTGGCTCGGGTGATGGCGTAGTGCCCTTGACATGGACGCCCGTCTCAACCAAGATACTGGCCCAGTCGGTGCCATGTGGACTCTTGTAGTTGTTGCCGCCGGCAATGTCACTGGCGGGATTGTCGCCAACCATGTATACCCGCTTGAGGTGGCCAAGAGCACCACCGTGCGGCTGCATCAGGTGATTCCGGTGTGCTATCAGTCGTTTCTCGGCGAACTCATATGTAGGACGATGCGGCTTGCCCATGACAACCTTGTGCAGCTTCACGCCGTTTGCCTCGCCGCCAGTGATCGCCGCCCAGATGCCTTCAAAGGCCTCACGGAAGCCTCCCTGGCCGAGACGTGGAAGATGGTATTTTGCCGCCCACAGCAAGTCTGGATTGGAGTAGTAAACTGTGGGCTGGCCATCCTGCTGGTAACCACGGTTCTCCAGCGCAGGGTTGCCGTTCTTTTTGGATAACGTGCCCAGGATACCCTGTTCGGATAGCAGCACGTCTTTGATGGTTTGCGCATCGAGGCCCCAGTCGCGCGGGTCGTTGTAGACGAAAACAGCGTCAATCCGCAGCGAGGTTGACGGCGAAGAAGGGTCGATCGGGGCGGGCAGAGGGCGGGTGAAGCTCTTGTAGTATGAAAGTAGTTGCTGGGAGAAGGGCCAAACTTCCGGATGCGCGACCAAAATGTCGCCTGGAGTAACCACCCTCTTGAAGCTGAATTGGCTGGTTAGCATGTCATGTACAACCATGTGGGAATCGCGCTACCCCCGTACCCATATGCCTCAGCCACCTTCCTGCACTTGTCTGCCTCGCCGCCAACCACCATGACGGTTTTTTCCTTGAGATGATGCATGTCGGCAAAGGGCGTGTGGCTCTGGACAAACATGGACGTGTCGAGCGGCACATTGAGTCTACTGCTCAGGTCGGCGACGCGCTCCGACTCGTGTTTCCCGCCGCCATTGGTGAGCAGGATGAATGGAATGCGGTGCGCCTGGAGATAGGAAAGCGCCTGGTGTGCTCGAGGCAGCGGATCCGCGCTCCGAAGAAGCACTCCGTCGATACTGACAGCCGTCAGCGGCCGTTGTTGTGAATCCGATCCATGGCAGAAGCTGCCTTACTCGAAAGCGAATGCAAAATCAGATGCGGGCGCAGCACTCGTCTGGAGAAAGCGCCGGAGCGGCATGGGGCGCCCGCTGCGAGGAAATGGCCTCGCCATGCGCATTGCAGCTGCGCAAGCCATTGTGTTGGCTCTCGTGGGATGTAGAGTGTGGGATGTACGGGGGTGGCATGCATGTGAACCAAAGGATGCAGTCCCTAGTCGTGTGTCGGCCCCACATTGATCCTCGGACCGTCATGCATCCATCATCTTGGCTTGTTTCTTCACCAACTACCACTCTTTCTTTTTGCCCGACAAACACTGTGTACCAGTACCGAGAAACAAAGCGTGTGCAATGTTGTGGACTTTGGATCTCTCGCGGGAACTGTGATTCACATGTGCGGTCGAGTTTCCACTCAACCCTTTCGCAAGAACAATAGTAAGTAGCAGGTTTCCAAGCCACAGCCTCATGCCTATAGTACTCCTTACTTACATCCAATAAATGCTCTTGACAAATCTAGAAATCGCTAATTCCCAATGCACAGGTTTCCTGGCAGAGCGCAATGTCATACTGTCAGCTTGAGAAATACACGCCACGTGGAGTAACTTTCTCCATCACTTCTACCAATCGTTCGACCAGCCCTCAGAAAGCAGCGGACTGACATAATCCTAAACACGCAATATAGTGGCTCTTCCAACAATAACAAGAAAACAACGTGCAGCCTGATAACAAAACTGCGTTATGCCACCGCTCTATCAACAAGAACAATACTAACCCCTTCCTTGCCACCTATGACCCTCGCACCACGCACAATAGTAACAAGGGATTCTAGGCCCTGACTCCAAGAGAACAATCACAATCCACAAAGGGGAACATCGCTTCTTTCTCCCTTCCTTTCATGCTGACCCCATCTCACATGACCATCCGATTCCCCTCGAGTCCAAACCACATATAAAACAGTGCTTTTTCCTTCCCTCTAAACGTTCTCCATCCCACCAAGCATCCAAGTCTTTCAATCGCTCTTCAAGAACCCTCTCAAACGAAAAAAGACCTCTTCACGTTTTTTCCAACCCTCCCACAAACTCCAAAATCAAAATGGCAGGCGTCATTGCTGGTCCCGGTTGCACCATCTCCCGCGGCGTCATCGCCGGCCCCGGCTGCACCATTTCTCGCGGCGTCATCGCAGGACCCGGCTGCACTGTTTCGCGCGGCGTCATTGCTGGCCCTGGATGCACTGTGTCTCGCGGTGTTATCGCTGGTCCTGGCTGCACCATTTCCTAAACGACTCAATCTCGTGTGTGTGTGTGATACTGGAGGATAATGCAGCTTTCCCCACGATGAAGGAGAGAGAGAGAGGGAGAGAGAGGCGGAGATGGAGAGAAAAAAACACCATTTTCTATTCTAGTTGCGCGTATCATGTACGACCATACAGCGACGTCTTCTTGTCTTTTTTTTTACGGAATCACAGCGAGGATCTTTTGAAAATTTCCTCGGCGTCTTGGCTATAATACGCTGCTTTCGATACACGGACTACGGATACTTTACGACGTATATTCACACGCTACCTCACCATTCGGATCGACAAGGCTATCTTCGGCTAACTGGATAAGCGGCGGGTTTTCATGTGGCTGGGGATTGGAATGATGATACGTGTGTGTGTATATGTTGTGTATGTCTGGGCATGGGATAATGTATGTAGTGTATGTAGCAAGGCTATTATTCTCCTCACCACTTATTCTACTTGCAAGGTATAATCCATGTGTCGATTTCGTGCCGCGCCGTGCCGTGAATCCTCAATTCGAGAAAAATTGCATAGCAGTATATACATAGCACATGGATAATCTAACTACCTCTCATACGCTCTCGCGTTCAAACCCACAAAATACAGCATTCTTGCCCTTGTCTCCTACAATACAGCAGACCTGGAATACCTCAACACAGTCTCTCACACTATCATAAACCCCCCATAGTAATTCCAACAGCCGCAGTTTCCAAGTAGACAAGCCGATATACAAGCTGTTTAACCAGCAAGGCGGGCCTAACAGACTTTCTCAACAGCAGAATTCGTACGACTCACACATCCGCATTTAACATGTTCTAATTTGGAACCTTTTGTCGCTCCTTTGGAATACATCAAGGTTAGAATTGAGGAAGTACCTAGTTGGGCGTGTTAGGATACATATGCGTTTCGTTTTATTTTGTTCATAGCGTACATCTTAGTAATGGATATTTGGGTTTGCACATCATTTTCACGCAGAATCTCGAAACAAAACCTGCCAGGGTTCAATAATTCGTCTCCAGGAAGCTTTAGGCCAGTGGTTTTGATACAAGCCAGGCCCGCAGTTAGTATCCCTGAGTCCGTGCTGTCGACCAGATGCTGACTTTTCTTTTTTCTCGTTGGCTCTATGCATTATGTTATTATGATGGAGAGTTTCTAGATCAAAATTTGTTAGAAAGGAGGTCATGGTGTTGTTCAAACAAGTAATTTTTCCTGGAGCAGAAACACTTGAAAGGTTTGGAGCAATATTTGGAAGAGGACGGTAAGCTACATATCAAGGTACCGCAGAAGTGTGTATGGAAATTGAAAGTACCTTCACATAACCACACTTTGATCCACATCGAATTGATTTGGATTGCTTTAATTCATATCACGTTACCATTAGCAGATAATGAAAACAAGTGGTCGAATACGGATTAGAATAAAGACATACCAGAATCCCCGGAGGTTCCTGTAAGCTCTGCTCATACCAACTAGCGAGCTTCCCTTATTCAAAGTAGGAAAAGTCTCTGGAATATCTTAAATGCAAGATAAGGCTCCAGCCTATAAGCTACAGATGTCATTGTAGGCTAGAGATTGGGATTAGCAATGCTGATTTGAGTGTCTGTCAAGGCAATACTCGCCTTTACTCATCACTATGTATCCTACGAGAATTAGACCAAGTTGATTCAGTATTACACATTGGAGATGCGGTATGATGCATCCTTCTTTTTTTTCCCTTCATACCACTGCAAGACGCTGAAAAGGCATGGTCAACAGTGCGTATGGCATGCATTATAGGTGCGCTATATGGCGCAGTAAATGTCTTCAAATTGATTGGTTACTCGAATTCTTAAAATACTCTGAGCTGGTGCGAGCCAAGCTTCCCGTGCATAACCTTCATGTGCTTGGTCACTTAGACCCTTGGTTTGTACCACCCTACGTACAATGCCCGAGATTTTCCCGATTGTCGTTCATTACAACACGAGCTTGCATGGCCCAATAAGCCTCGAGCCTTTGACAAAAGTTTCCAAGCATGAAATGCGCAATACCAGATTTCGATGCTGTGCAGGAACCAGAATGTCCCTGCCGCATTGCGAAGTATTAGAGAAGGCGGCACGTCAACCCTGGGACGCGCCGCACGTGTCCGCCCTAAGTATTCGAGTCCATCGGAATCATAAACCTCGACTTCACACCTGTCGCACGCGTCCTCATAATCATTCACACACGCCAAGTACATGTTCAAGAATACACATCAGCCCCTGCCAGACGAGCGCGTATCGGCAATAACGGACTGGCTCATGGCCTGCCAGGCTGACGGGATGGCATCGCCAACACCACCAAGCGAATCTGTTTCGTCCAGTCATGACAGTCGCTCCTCTAGACATTCTGCATATAAATCTCGAACATCTAGACCTAGCAAGCGAATATTGCCGCAGACTTACCGTATACAGAACATATCTTATGCTGGAATCTTCATTGAAAATCTGGCTGAACTCCCGCCAGAGATCGAACGCAGATTGCGGCACATACTAAAAGCCGAATCTTTAGAGGACATACTTGGTACAGCGGAACACGAATCCCAGCAGGCGACCCATGTAGAAAAGTTCCTGAACGAGTCACGTTATAACGTAAGAGGTTGCTTGTTCGAAGCGGACTTGAAAGACAGTTTATCCCGTCTTGTGCGTGAATTGGCTCAAGACAACCTCCGATGTCATGCATCTAGACAGCGTAAGATTTCAAGCCATCTCTGGAGCACTTCTTCTGAGATGCTGATACTTCCTCTAGTCTGGAACCCCGACCTCAAGCCCTTGCCTCCTCACATGGCCCAACCTGACGATGAAAGCGGCGCGCCAACATCGCACTCTGTGCTCCCCGACTTGGATTCCCAATCAGCTTCAGGGCTCCCAGGACCCAATCCTTTTCTGCGATCGTACACAGCTTCCACTGCTTATACAACCAGCAGCGAAGCCGCCGACCCATTCCATATTTCCACGCCAAAACCTGACATAGTAGTAGGCCTTGATGACCGGGCTTTCACACTCGCGCATCGCATTCAGCTCGCCAAACACCAAAGCCTTGGATCGCTACTGATCGACACGCATATCGAACCCATGGGCCTGCATTTCCCCTTTCTAATCGCCGAAACAAAAGGGTTAAGCCTAAACGGGGGACTAGTAGCAGCACAGAACGAAGCTGCTATTAGTGCCGCTTGCATGCTGAAATCCTAACTGATCTTGACAACCGACTTGCACTGTCCACGGAACCGGCAGAATCCCCGCTCTGTTTCTCGATTACGACTGAGGGCCCCATACATGAACTGTGGGTGCATTTCAAACTCGGAGACGCGATTTATATGTATAATATTGGGACGTGGCGCACGACACATGCACGCCATGTAAGGGAGCTGGTGTACTGCCTGACTCGAATTTTGACGTGGGCGAAAGATGAGTTTATGGAGAGGATACGTGAGAAGCTGGATGCGGTACTGGTGTGAATGAGCATTGCTAGTGTCTAGTCTTGACTTTTTTTCTTCTTCTTCTATTAATTTCTGATATCATGGTGGATACTTGACGTTATACGTCTTCTCTACTTCTTCGCAGCTCACTAGCCCCTTTCTCTTCCCTCTTTCTCGCTCCTTGTCTGCCGTATGATTTCATGCAAGTATCAAGAATAGGTAATGACCACAACACTTTTTTCGTAACATTCTTATCACTCTACCCTATCACACACATGCATACAGAATCTACCTTGACTTGCGCTTGTCTCTCTTACCTACACTACAACATTCCCAGCAATCCGAGCAATCCGAGCAATCCCACCATCCAGTACGACCCTTCACTCTCTTCCCCCCCTTTCCCTCCCCCCACATATACGCTACATGCCCCAGCATTACCCACCATGATCAAAATCCCACAACCCCACAATCCCCATACTTCCACCACGCCTTCTCGAATGCAATAATTACCCATAATTTCAAACAGAATACCCCTCCCCCCCTCTCATCCCCTCGCCCTCATCCCAGTCCCAGCGTTGAAGCAGAGCGATTAGATATGACAAAGAGAGAGAGAGAGAGAGAGAGAGAGAGAGAGAGAGAGAGAGACAGAGAGAGAAAAACAGACCCATCAATCCAATAGATCCATGATTATTGGAAAAAAAAACCTCGAGAAATAAAAACTGACATAGGAAAAAAATTGCCCCATGAAAGATTTTGAAATAAAACAACAGCCAGTCAGCCACCCGCCTCATTATCTTCTGTCGCTAGGGATGCAGCGAAAAGGTGAGAAAAGAAGAAAGAGAAATAGGTAGAAGAGAGAAAAGAAGAAGAAGAAGAAGAAGAAGTAAGCATAACACATCATGATACCCATCTAACCTTTGTCCACAAACAACACATATCACACATGCATATACAGCCCCCCCCCCCAAAAAAAAAGAATCCTCCCCGCTCCACCCCCAGCAGTAAAAACAAACAAACGAACCGACGAACAAAAAAAACAAGCAGGATAGATAGAACACAACAACAGAAACAGAAACAGAAACAGAAACAACACAGAGAACCATTATTAACGTATTTTTTTACTTTCTCCGCTAGGATAACCATGAAAAAAAAACAGAATAAACAAATAAATATCAAATAAACAATCAAACAAACAACAACAAATAACATAAAAAGTTTGACCTAAAGTTAAGTAAAAAATTGTCAGGACATATATGGCTATCATTTCCCTTCCAAACAAACAAACAAACACACACCAATACACATGCATACTTGAACCACCCCCCCCACACACACACATAAACAGCCCGCTTGCACACGCACGCATACACACGCGCACACACACACACATCCTGGACTTGCTAGCCTCAACTCTATCTCCTCACGCTACGAGGTCTACTATTCTGAGACGCCGGAGCAGCGGGGCTGTTTGGCACGGCGAAGCTAGATTTGGACGAGCCACCGGACATGTGGACGTCTCCATCCTTGTCGTGACGGGGGAGGCCAGCACGGACAGCCGCGGGACTAGTTTGCGCTGATTTCCTGGCTGCGCTGCGCAGCGAGGCGGGCGTGATGTTTACCGAGGCGTCGTCTTCTGTTTCATCGGCGCTGGCACTTGTTTCGCGGTCGGGCGTCGTGGGGCGCTGGGCAGCGCGAAGGCCCTTTTTGGGCTTGGGCTTCGACTCCAAGGTGCGGGCGTCCGTCTGTGTTCGCGAGGGCTTCTTGATGGCTTTCAAGGCGCCGGGCCGCGATACCTTGCGTTGGAACGTGACGGTTGTGTGGCGTGTGACTTTGATGGTGCCGGACGGGGCGGTCCGCGTGGGAGCTGCTCGTGCATGGCGACCCGTTGTGGTTGTGGTTGTTGTTGTTGTCGACCGTTTGAGGGCCCGGTTTTCTCGTGATGCGGCTTGTCGTGAGAGCTCACTTGCTTCTTGTTCAGCCCGCTCACGGGCCGTTTGTGATGCGATTAACTTGTTTCTGGCCTTGGTCGAGCCGGCACTTCCGGCACCTAGTTTGCGCTTTTTCGGCGAGTTGTGACTGCTTTCGGAACCGCCTCGCCTTGGGCCCAACAAATCCTGAAGCTTACGCTTAGTGCCGGTGATGAGTGCTGAAGTGATAGACTTCTCCTCAATGGGTTTCTTGGGCTTAGGACCCAGCACACCACGACAAGACTCGGTACCACATCGGCACTCTTGGATGTTCTTTTGCGAAAAAGGACTAGCCTAGTTAGAAACATACCGTATTACACAGAAAAAAAAAAGACTTACTCAAAGTTGTAATCGTACGTCAACTCCTCTCCAGTCATGATTCCTCGAGGTCCAGCGAAGAGAGCCATGCGGGGCTCACCTCCTACTGTCCACTTGATCATCTCGCAATTGGGCTCACAGGAATGATTGACAAAGCGAGCAATGGTTCCACGCGTCGCATCAATAATCATCTTGTTGTCGAAGCTCATCAGATAGTAACACTATCACATGTTAGTGTCACCGAGTGAGCCAAAAACGTGAAACCCTACCTTGTCTTTCTTGTAAACCTGCTTCATGCGTCGTTCGCACTCGGACTGCGTGATGATCTCTCCAGCATACTCGACAATGATCTGGTGCGGCTCAAATGTCCTCATAGCACGCACACCGTAGCCGCGGTCCTCGGTATTCAAAACCTCGACGCCATAGTCGTAACGGTTGCCTTTTGCGCGCCTCCTCAGCTCCGCAAAAGGCCGGTTGTTACACTGCTCCTTGGTAAGCGGGCAATTGGTACCGTCGCACTCGTAGGCCATGATGCGATTGTGGCAAGACTCTCCACAGCCATCTTGAACATCGCAGTAGCACTGCGAAGTATCTTGCTTGTCGCGTTTCCATAGGGCCGATGCATCACCAATAAACCTGTCTGCATAATGTTAGCCTCATCACGTTTTGCAAATGCCGACAAACCTACTTTTATTAAGTTTGACCCAGCCATCCACCTTGATCTTCCTGGGCAACGGATGATAGGTATCAAACGGCAGCTTGAAATCGCGATAGACCAATTTTGGGTCTTCATTCAGCAGGCGATCGGTAGCGAAGATGGGGAGGGGTAGAACATTTCTCTCCTTGGACTTCTTGGCCCTCTTCTTTGCGCGATTTTGACTTTCCGAGAGACGAGGGTCAAAGTCGCGATCCTGGCCCACATACAGGCCTTGTTTGAGCCAGACCTTTGGCTTTGACTTTGCAACTTCTGGTGGCTCAGCGCTCTGCGGGGCTTCGCTGTCTTCCACAGCAGCACGTGAGCGCTTGAGGGAGCCCGTTGATGATCGTGCCTGGGCTGATTTCAGCTGAGGCGCTGATGCGCTGCGCCGGAGACCCCCCTGGAGCAGCGCCTTGCCTCCAGACAACGTGTTCGTAACAGCCTCTCCAACACCAGATATATTCCGGAGCACCTCCTTGCGGAGGTCAGTCACCCGCGACGAGGTGCGACGGCGGGCAGACTGCGAGGTTTCTGCCGCCAGCTGCTGCTCAATCTGAGCGCTGGCCGCCGACGCTATCGACTTGCGCTTTTGGTATTTCCGCTTTGCAGGGGGTGTCTCGTGCTTTATAATCGACTCGAGGGAGCCATGCACGACATTCTTGTGATGCTTCTCGAGATATTTGGTCGGCGTGTGGATGGCGGTTCCCGCGAGAATCTGCACATTGTACGTCGTCACCGACTTGCGCGAGCTCCTGGCGGGCCGGCGGTTCTCGCTGCTGACCTGGTCAGGAGGAGCAGTGGTTTCGGCTGACGGGGCCGTTTCGCACATCATTTCCAGCCCCGAAGCGTCGTCCAAGGCCTCGACGGCCTGCTCCATCTTGGGCATCTCGGAAAGGACGCTGGCTTCGTCGCCGAGGCTCGTGGGGGGCGTCGAGATGGAGGGCGACGCGCTCGACATGGCGCGCTCGTCGGGCTGCTTGTCCGTCCGCACGGTAATGTTGGAGAGAGTCGAGGACGTCGAGGTGGGCGAAAGGTCGCGCTCGGCCATGGCTGTGCGAGAGCAAGATTGTAACGCGCGTCGCGGTGGTTATCTTTGAGGGGCGAGGCACTGACGCGCAGAGGGAGAGGTCGACGGTTTGGCCGGCTTCAATGGGCGCTCACAAAGCAACACTGCCACGCTTCACGCGCAGCGAGGCAAACAACACCGGTAGAAATGTATGTGGCAGTCGACCAGACTCAGAAGAAGCACTGGGCATGCATTGGGAGGTGCGGCGTTCCAGGAGTGAGGATTGACGGACGGAGGATTGAGGAGGTAAACATATGTAGCTAGTCGGTCGGCCAATTAGGCTGTCCCTTATCCATCCCCAGTGTTACGAGCACCACCCACCACCACCCGTCTTCGGGACCCCTTGGGACGCGGCAAAAGCACTGTTCTTCACACGTTTTTTTGCACTGTAGGGAGAAAAAAAAAGACGACACACTGCAATGGCTCAGGCACAAGGGGAAGAAAAAAGTCCGCAGTCATTTCTCAAAAGATATAGCAGCCAGGCTTATCATGTACGGATGAGAGATGTAAAACGCTATAACTCAATACAGCTAATGTAATCATAATAAATCGATCAGAAAAGGCCTGATCTGGGCATGTATCTATGCAGCACCTGCATCTGCCGTGCTGTGTGGTGACCGGCCAGTCGGGCCCTGGAAGCCGTCTGCGGCGCGCACATCCTGCATTTCCACTCCTCCGCCTTGCTGCTCGGGAGCCAGCGGCGCCGTCCGCTTGTCTCTGCGAGGACCAAAGCGCTGGTCGCCTTCTTCGTACGGCCGCTTGAAGTGCAGGTAGGTTGGGGGCCGCGGGCGCTGCAGCACGGCAATCCAGTTTTTGAGCACTGAGCCCTGCGTAAAGGGCCGGTGACGATCTTTCTTGAGAAACTTGTGCGAGTTGAGATATTCGCGCGTCGTCTCGCCTCTGCCCACCAGAAACAGGTGGTATGCACCCAGACTGAAGGGGTACGTCCAGCCCAGCAGTCCATATATACACATGGCAAACGGAACGCGCCACTTGTCTATGGCCTCGCCAAACGAAGCGCCGGACCGTGCCCGCCAAATTAGGATATGCGCCAAGCTGGCACCGAGGAGAAACAGTCCCAACAAAGTGGTGGCGCAGACAAACACGAAGAAATAGCGATAGTTGCGGCGGCCCACGCAGTTGTTGAGCCAAACGCAGTGGTGGTCCTGCGTCTCGATGCAATTGTCGCACACACGGCAGTGGTGAGCGCGTGGGGGGCGCCAGATGTTGCAGCTTTTGCAGTACTTTGTCGGCACCTCCATGGCGGCGTTGGCGCCAGTTGCCGACACAACCATGGTCCATTCCGTCGTCGGCGGACCAAGGCTCAGCGGGTCGTCATTAGGATTAGGTGGGGGGAAAGGGTGTAGATTCCGGGGGAGTATCTAGAAGCGTCAGCGACAAATAGCCGAGGCCAAACAGAGACTGTTTTTTTGTTTTACATACACCGGGGTCCGAAGCAGAGGCATGTATAAACGAAGACACAGAAACGAGAAGTAAATAAGCAAATAGAATGGGTATCGCAGGAGAAACATTGAGCCAAAGCCAGGGCGCCCTGTTGCAGTAGTCAGCAGCGGCACGTGTAGTTGTTGTTTGCAAAAAAAAAAAAAAAGAAACAGAAAGAAAGAAGAGGTGGAACGCACGAGAAACCGAAGAAGAGACCAGCCGGCAGGATTATGAGTATGGCCGTCGCCACATTAACTGGACGGTCGCGCGTGTTTTGCAGGCGGCCGCCCCAGCAAAAAGCAGTGTTGCCGGTAAAGTACTGGTAGTTTTTGCCCAGCTCTCGCTTGACGGCGGCCTTGGTGGCCTCTTTGCGCGCCAGCCGCGGCGAGGGCTCGGCCGACGTGAGCTTCTCGTGGCCCTGGTGCGGGCGCATCTGGCTGGGGCGGCCGTCGCGGCTCGAGATCATGAAGCTGGAGCGGAAGGAGCGCGGCGACTTGCTGGGCGTGGGCAGCTTGGTGGGGTCGCTGTGCACGCCCGTGAGGTTCAGGTGGTTGGGGCGGGGCCGCTGCAGCGGCGTGATGCTCTCGCCGTGGCTGCGCACCGTCTCTGCGCCCGTGGGGGTCGAGTTGGCCGTGGTGCGGTCGGGCATGTCCCGGTCCGTGATGTCGGTGCCGCGCGAGGGCGGCAGCAGGTCCTCCTCGTGGTGGAGGCCCAGCGTGGGCAGGGCGCGGTTGGTGTAGGTGGAGCCGGTGCTGGAGCGGTAGTGGTTGTTGTTTGTGTCGTGCGTCGCGTCCGAGTAGAGCGAGCTGTGGCCGAGCAGCGACGTGGGGCGCTGGTTGCGCTGCTGCTGCAGCCGCTGCGAGCTCATGGGGCGAAAGAAGCCGTGGGCGGCGAGCGGGACATGCGTTCTGCTGGTGGCCGTGGTCGGGCGGCTCATGCTGATGCTGCCTCCGCCTCGTCGCGCTGGGCTGGCCTGCGACCACCGGTTCTGGCTGCCCGAGTGCGCCGTCGTGATGGACGAGGGGCGCGACGGCGGCAGGCCGGCGTCGCCTGCGGGGCCCGTCATGCCCAGCACGCGGCTGCCCGTGGAGCTGCGCTTCTGGTCGGTGGGCGTCATGGCCATGGTGTTGATGTTGCGGGCGGCGCTGGTCTGCCGACAAGCAGCATGACCTGGGACGGGGGGCGGAGCGGCGCGGCCGGGCGGAGCGCGAGGGGGCGAGGATGGCGACGACGGCGACGAGAAAGAGCGACTGCGAGAGAGTGAATGGACTGGGATGGAGGGGGGAGGGGAGGGGAGCGAGCAGCGGCAGCGGCGCCGGGGCCTGGGGGGTGAAACGAAGAGATGGACGCAAGCGTGTGTGATAGCGGCGAAAGGGGCGCATAAACTTCGTCGTCGAGGTCGCGGCGTTGCCCAGGGCCCCAGGCTGTTTGCGGCATGGCGGCATGGCGGCCCTCGGTGACGCAGCCGGGCGAATGGCTTGGCGGCCCGCGACACTCACACTCAACATCGGACCACCTGCTTGCAGCCGTACGCCTGACGCCGCACCGCAATTGCCCACCACCACCACGCCCAAGCCCATCGCCCACCATGTCCTCCATCATTGCCCGCGCCGCCTTCCGCGCCGCCCCGCGCATCCAGCACGCCCCCGCCCTCCGCCGCTGGGCCAGCGCCGCCGCAGACGGCGAGCGACAGCGCAGCAAGGAAGCCCTCAAGGCGGGCGCAAAGCGCGACCCCGAGCTCTACGTACGCCAGCCGATGCGCCCGCTGCCATGCTCATGCGAAGGATAGCTGATTGGACCTGCAGGTGCTCCTGGCCATCATGAGCGGCATCTTTGGCCTGGCCGGATGGCATTTCTGTAAGCCTCGTATCTTTCGCTCTGCACAGCTGCTGATGCCCGCCCACCAGCGCGCTCCCCCACCAGCGCCTCTTCGGAGCGAACTGTCGCCAAGGCCTCGGACAGCGAGCCCTGGAAGCAGGAGGGCAGCACCAGCCCCTACCAGTACCACCCGGGCGGTGACACCAGCATCAAGAAGGATGCCCCTTCGGCCCTCAACGTCGTTGTCATCCCCAACGTCACTCTCCCCAAGGTATGCCCTTCCCCTCCCCGCAGCCAGCAATGGCTATCCAACGCCCTCAGATGCCCGGCTTTCCCCCCTCCCGTGTACTGACCATGGCCCCAGGAACTCCACGACACCTACAACAAGTGGGGCAAGGATGGCTACTGAAAAAAATCCCAACCAACTGTGTGTGTGAACAAACCTCTCGCTCCTTCCCGGCTGGAAAAACAATGCTGCGCCCCATGGCGAGTTGCCAAATTTCCGCCCTCTTTTCAACATTATGCGTCTGTCTTGTACATAGGGTCCAACAAACGGGAGCCTTGTGCTCTGACATCGAATCTTGGCCTTGAATTTTTGCATCTCCATGACACACTCAACGCGGAAAAGGATGGAGTGCTAGTGGACCGGAGTAACATGGTCGAGGAGATTCGCAAGAGATTGTGAAGCGCGGCTTTGATGCGGCATGGCGGGCGGACAGACGGGCGGGCGGGCGGGAGCATCTGGTGTGGTGTGGCAGTGCGCGCGGAAAGATACCCATAGACTCCATTGTACTCGTGTCATGCTTTGATGGGCACAGGGGAACGGGAAAAGCAAAGAGTGGTGATTGTGGAAAAGCGGGAATGCAACATGAGAGAGAGAGAGAGAGAGAGTACGAGTTACACAATCACAAAGAACACAATCAATGTATGTACGGAGGGGTTTTTTTTTTGCAACGCTGCGTCTTTTTCTTGTGTCGGGGAAAAGGGTGATGTTGTGGGGAGTATGTTTTGCTGGAGGGTTGACATGCCAAGGCCAATTTGGAATGCACAGCAAAAAAAAGGGTAAGAAAAGAAAAGGGGAAAACAGCACTTCAGGCGGTGGCTAGTGTGTCAATTGGGAGAAAAACATGGTCAGGCAGTTCTGGGTGTATTGGTACCACGTTGCAAGTGTGCACCGGCAATTATGTTTGTTTGTAGAAGAAGAAAAAATACGCTCTCGTCCTTGATGCCCAGCACCTTGACCTTGACCTTGCCCTCCTTGAGCTCATCCTCGCCAAGGATAATGGCAAGCGGCACGCCCGCCACTTCGGCCTGCTTGAATTGCTGCTGCACCTTTGGCTTCAGCTTGTATGAAAACTCGGCCTTGATGCCTGCAGCCCAAAGCTCTTGTGCGACTTGCATGCGCTCCGTCAGCATGCCATTGAAGCCTTTGCCGCCAAATGCCATGACAAAGGCATCCACGTCCTTGGCGCGCTGTGTCGATTGACCGCGCGCTTTCATGATGCTGATGATTCGATCGATGCCAAAAGAAATGCCCACGCAGGGAATAGGCTTGCCACTAAACATGCCCACCAACTGATCGTAGCGACCACCCGCAGCTACACTTCCCACGCCAATCTCTTGCTGTTTCCCTTGTCCGCGCGGGGCTGAGCCCTCGGTAACCACCTCGTAGATTAGGCCCGTGTAGTAGTCGAGGCCTCTTGCAAGTGAGAGATCAAACGATATCCTCTTGCGTGCGCCAAAAGCATCCAGGTATGCAAACAGTAGCTCCATCTCTTCGACACCCTGGCGGACATCTTCCGACTTTGAAAGCGCTTCGTTGGTCTTGAGATAGTCGATAATGTCGTCGCCGCCTTTGCGTTGCACCCACTCGCCAATCTTGTCTGCAACATCTGCTTCCAGGCCCTTGGTCTCCATTTCTTTTTTGACTTCATCCCACGGCATCTGCAGCGCGTCAGCATGTGAAAAAGCATCGCACACGCCCTCCTTACCTTGTCCAGCTTGTCAACCGCTGAGCTGATTGGGCGTATCAGCTCTTCCTTTACACCGGCAGCCTTGAATATGCCGTCGAGAATCTTCCTGTGGTTGATCTTGATCGTATATGTGTCCCACTCGAGCGCGTCAAAGACGTCGGTTGCAATCTTAAGCACCTCGGCATCGGGGATCATGGCATCGTACGAGCCTGCAATGTCAAAATCGCACTGGTAAAACTCTCGCATGCGGCCCTTGGTCATGGCCGGTTGGTCGCGGCGGTACACCTTGGCAATCTGGTATCGCTTGAAGCTCTGCACACTGGGGTTCATGGCGAGCCATCGTGCGAGGGGAACAGTCAGGTCGTAGCGCAATGAGCAAAGCTCACCGCCCTGATCTTGCAGGTCGTATATGAGTTTTGAGTCTTCTCCGTATTTGCCGCTGAGAATCTCCTTGAGCTCAAAGACGGGTGTGTCGAGTGTCGTCGCTCCGTGGCGCTTGAAGACGTTGGTCACCGTGTCGAAAAGGCGATCGCGGAGGGCAGCATCCTCGCCGGTCCCTAACCATGTTAGCCAGTGCATCTCCTAGCAGGCAATACAACAAAATAAAGGTGGCAACTAGACATACAATCGCGCGTGCCCTTGGGCACCTTGAGGTTGAAGCTCTTGCTCTTGTCTTCCTTGCCCATTTCGTTGTCAAACAAACACGAAGCCTGTGTGCAGAGCCGGCGGCGGGGTGAAGTAAAAATCCGTATACGGAGGGGTGTGGGGGTGAGTTTGCGGCAGGCAAAAGTATATCTCAGGGCGTCTTGTAGAAGCGCGGGGCAGAGAAAGTGGGGTGAAATGCGCGGCATGGGCTAGAAATAAAGTGACTCAATGGCCCAAGAGCAACTGCGCCTGTGCAAAGATTCGTTTCAATTCGCGACCTGGCCCGTGCACCTCTACGTCACAGCCCAGTTAGGCGTCCATTGATGATTGCAAAGACGTGCTTGATTATATGGTATTAATACGAGTATCTAGTGCTGTGTTCTCACCACGCCTCGATGAAATTGAACAGGTCTTTCTGCCCGTAGCATTCCGCTACTACAGTCAAAATCATGTCAATAGCAGCCTTTGTCTCCAGCTCACTCTCGGTCAAGGGAGTGCTTTTTAGTGCTGGATTCCTGGCTCGTGTTGTGTCCGAAGTAGGGGTCAGGATGGGTGTAGAGTGTTCCTTTTGCGGCTTTTGGTTGCGCATTTCTTGCCGTTGTCTTTCGGCCTCGGCTCGCGACAGCATATGGAATTTGGGCGTGGAAGATGGTTCTGACGAAGGTACCTCTGAATGCACCAAACGGTCCCCGAGCTGTGCAAGGAGGCGTGCTCTGGCTGTTTCAAGGTCTCCAACTTCTGCAGTCTCTGCAGCCTCTGCTTCGTCTTCTGAAATCACCATTTCCGCACCAGAATCTTCCGCGCTGTCATCCACGGCTTCTCCACTCTCCACGCTACTATCCATGTCGGGTGTGTCCTTTACTACATGCACAGAGTCCTCGGCTTCTAGAGTGCTCTGCTCTTTCGAGCTCCTCTCGGCTTGCAGTCGTTTGGCCAGTCGGCTTGCAGCAAGGCCTAAATCCCGGATCTTGCCGATTCTCTCATGATCCAAAGTCCCGAAATCTCCCGTCAAGGCCAGTAACGTCCAAATCCAGCAGCTCTTCTGGCGCGAGATCTCAGTTGATCGATCTAGAGCGAGTGTGCAGCCATGTAACGCCACATACAAAGTCGGTTCGTCTAGTTGAGTGATTTCCTTCAATTCGGGGTAGCCACGGTCAATGGTTTCTGCCCACTCGTACTTGTTGGACTGCTCGGAGCGTCTTGATTTCCTGGGACCCATGGTCTTTGTCGGCAGCGGCTTATGATCACGAAACGCAGAGAGCTTGCTGCGGAGGTTACAGAATCGCCGAACAAGTGCCCATTGGGAGCTCTCCTGAGGATCGAGATAATCTGCATCTTCGTCCCAGTACTCTGATTCACCGTCGCCTTCGCTTTCTAAAGCAACCCAGGTCCCATCGTTGTACACGACTCGTCGCGAGCTTCCACTATACTTGTTTGTCGAGATTCCTTTAGCGTTGCCATGATCGCGGTTGGCGCCGTGCGGGTTGTTCGGAGCTGTGAGAAGGGTGGGTATTGTTGAGGCCTCAGACCTGGTGCAAAACGGTTAGTGACAGTTCTTAATATCGCCAAATATATGTACAAAAGCCGGCCAAGGCACTTACCTGACACTTCTAAGGTATGCCACTGCTTCATCTATCGACTCGTCCGACAGTTGCTCTTCTCCGTCAAGGCCTGGGAGCGCCGATCGCACGCCTGGCTCCCGAAACTGCTCGTGGGCGCGCAGCTGACCTTTGGAACGCGGACCATTACGATCAATCCTGGCGCGCTTTGTTTCGGACGCGTTTTCCTGCTCGTACTTTCTCTTGCTGCTAGCAACTGCTGGCGAGGGTGCCAAGGCGGATGGCAGAGGCGGCTGTGTCGATGTAAGGTAGCCGTCGGGTCGCGATAGCTTATTGTAAGCCTCGCCGTCTTTTGTAACAGCCAAGTTGCTACCCGAGGCCGCCATGCTGGGTTGGAGAAGTGCAGTGCCCAGGGATCGAGGAAATGTGGATGCGGAGTTGGAGGCGGAGGTGGACTAAATTGGTCTAGCGTCGCTGCCTGTCGATCTATTCGTCTGTGCATGTGATTGGGAGGTAACCCCTAATACACGCGAGCCAAAAGACTATGCGTCTCTTACGAAATATATTCAGCTCGGATATAGTCTTTCCAATGACAAAGCAAAAGTGCTTAGGCAAAGTACTTTGATGAGCAAAGACACTCACTTCTATCTATGCATAGTCGCAATCCCACCCCGCGTCCATTATTGGCTCTTCCTCTCCTCATTCTCCTTGACTGGCTGGTAAGGGTACTTGATGGTAAGACACCAGATGTCCAGATAATCGCATATTGTCCAGATAACGTCGACAATGAAGCTTCCATGCACGCCCACAGCGAGTCCCAGGCACATGAAAACGAACGCGACTTGGTAAACATCGTTGCCCAGGGCACTCGGCCAGCCGAAGCCAACACGCTCCTGTAGGAACGGTCCGAGAGAGTCGGCGACTCCATAGATAAGAGGATAGATGAGTACGTTGCCCCTTGGGAAACGCGATTTGGTAAGATGGGAGATGATCATGCGACCCACGGAGTAGGCGTTGATGAGGCCAGCGTAGAAGACAAAAGGTACCAGGTGGTGGTGCAGAATGACGGGTTGCAGGTACAAGTAGGCCGGGATCAAAACCCAGGCTGCGGCAAAGGTGAGGAGCCCAAGGAGGGCAACACGCGTCCTTTGGCCCCGGGCGCGGCGCGCTTTCATGACATTCAGGGCACTTTTGAACTGTTAGCCTGGCTCGTAGTCTCTTCACAGTCATGCTTACCTTGATATAGTGTTGAAAACAAGCACAACACCTCCCTGAACCATGTACCATTCGTTCCATGCCAGCTTGTAGATAAATTCTGGGATGAATTCATGGTGCCCAATACCGAGACTTTCGAGCATGGAACGCTGCCAGAAGCTGCCTCCACCAAGGACGCCTGTCAAGGCGTACACAACGCACAGTATGAGGATGCCCTCGACTGGCCCAGAGACAATGCCCAGAGTCAGGGTATGCGTGTGGTACTCATCCCAAGTCTGGACATAGAATGTCATGGATGCTGAATCAGTCAGTCAGCAGCTTTCTTGCCATGGAATCACAGAGTTTACTCACAAGCGAAAAGATTAAGAACAGTCTTCCACCCCTGCCCCAAGCTCATCGTGGCAGAAAACAGCAGCACTTCCAACGTCGTGTTGATTGCGTCAACTCCATGGTCAAACAATTCGCCGAGGGGTCCGCTCTGACGAGTTCTTCGAGCTTGGCTGCCGTCAACAGCATCAAACGTTTGGTAGAGGAAAAGACCAATGGCCCAGCTAAAGTACACCCACGGCGGGCAGTCTTGATCTAGCGTTGGCGTGTACCAGAGCATAGTGAGAAAGTTGGCAACAACGAATCCAAACCCAGATAGCGTAATCTACACTGTTGTGTAAGTGCTAGTGCAAGACGTTCATGGTCAAAGTGGGGTCAATCTGGCTGCTTGCAGAGCCGATCAGAGTCTTGGGAAAAATGAGACGTACGAGGTTTGGCCTGGAGATAGTTAGTACAGCATGTAACGGAGACTCTACTTGACTTACGCCATCCACATGGGAAAACATTTGATGACCACATTAGTGTAAAAGGGCTTTAACACATATTGCGATACAAGGCTGTGATCAACACCAGAGTACTTGTACTCTTTGAGCTTGGGCAGCTTATCCTGTCGAATGTAAACCATGGCGGCGCAAGTCCCTCCGAGCTGGGTTGATAGTAGCAATGGCTGTTGCGTTGTTGCAGCAAAAGGGATGTATGTAAGCTGTTTGTTGGCGTGTGCGTGGGAGAAGAGGTCCGAGCGTGGGGCTGCATGTATGACGTAACTCGTCGCTCTGGCCTGTTTTCAGTGCCAGCGTGCTCAACACTCGGAAAGGGGGTAGATCATGGGGCAAGGGTTCATCTCTGGACTCGTGACGTGGTAGGCAGCCTGAATTGGTGACCTAAAAGTGTTTTATACTTATATATGTACATTCCACCGTATCATCGCATTGCAATGTGATGCCCAGGTGTGACGCAACCCCGCACTTGCGCAGTGGAATAGCACTGCCGCCGGTCCATGGGCCAAGCAAACCCCGCCCTCTTAGAGCATGGCCAAGGGTGACCCTCTAGTTTGCTTAGCCACAAGCCTGACCTGTCTACGCAAGCAACCTACTTTTGCCCAGTGAAGCAGTAAGATACAAGCCATGTTTGGCCTTTGTCAACTGTGGATCAAGCGACAGGACTCCAAGAGCATGGAATAAGAATCCGGCTCTTCATGGTCTGGATGAGCGGCACCGTCTTGTGCACTGTTTCACCCCACCCTTCGACGCTCCAGCTCTGTTCGCGACGTATCTTGCGTTCCTCTAGATTGGCAAACTGCCAGAGGTGATGTACTGTGTTGAGGTCGCCAATCTGAACGAACCAAGCACCGACACCTTCCATGACCTCTCGCCGGGCCTTTAGACCGCGTCTCCAGTGTGTCTCCCACTCGAGCAGATTACCCGGATGCAGCGTATACGAGCGCAGTTCGAAGATGCCACCAAGATGACGCGGCGGTGTAGTCGGCCAGAAGGAAAACTCTTGCATCAGAGAATTGCGCTTGCTGGAGATGAGCTTTTTAAGTTTGGCGTCAAAGGCAGGAAACTCGGGGTGGGAATGGATGTTGTGGCGCGACTCGTGGTATCCTTCGTAGCGCTGGTACTCCCAGATGTGCACTGTTCGGCTTCGTCAGTGGATAAACGAGAGATTGGGTGACGAAGGCGTGGGAAAGCCTACCAAACGTGTTGCAGTCGCCTACTTCGGTCCTCCAGCTACCTACGAGATGGACCTTGTTCTCGGGAATGGAGGCCATCTTCGGGTACCAGCCCCCGACCAGCTCGGTGTACTCTTCGACATTCTCCGGCTTGACCTCGTGGAAGACAATCGAGTGGACGTACTTGCCGCGGGCTAGGACCTGGGAGAAGCTGCGCTCAATGTCCTTGTCGAGCTCGCGGCCTTCGGGCGTGCCATAGATGAGCGACGAGAGTGCACCGCCCTTCTTTTTGCCATTTTCGTGCTCACGGGCGCGCGCCTCTCCTACAATGGCTCGTGTCAGTCCTCTTGCGGGGTTCACTGTGCTGCAGAGGCATATGACATACTCTCTTCTTGCTCCTTTCGCTTCTGGGCTGCCACCAGGCCATCGCGGAACTTCTTCTGTTTCTCATTGAAACTTGCCGCACCGTCAGGCGTAATGTCGGCGAGTGTGGGAGCTCGTGTCGGGCTCTGTGTCGCACTCCCAGCACCAAAAGCTCGCGCGTGGACACTGGTAACGAGTGGCGGAGTGAGCCTGGCGCGTACGTTTGCACAAGCACGACGTGAGAGCATCATGTTGGCGGTGGAAGAGGAGCTCGAGAGTGAAGTCGAGAGCAGAATGGTTGATGTCAGCGTGTTTGAAGCGGCTAGGAAGGAAGTTACTTGGGTCCGGTGCGCGGCCTAGAGCTTCCCCTCATCTCCTCCCCCCCAGCCTGCCCTGTCGAGCTAGCTAGCGCGATGCTGCAACGAACCGCCCGGGGCACTGGCAGCTGGGGTAAGGGTTGCCCCACTATTGCTATGGACGTCTCCACTCTGACACTTGCATGTGCCTACGTAATGCGTGCTCGGCCATAGTGCATTGCCGATCTTCCTATCACATTCTACGTGTACGTCCGCTTGCAAAACTCTCCTAACCATTACTTTGCCACGACCGGTGCTGACCTGCACACAGTCATCTGGTCTACTTAAACTTTCCCAGCCAATCGATGCCACCACACATTGTACCCGCTCCCAAGTACGGAGCCCTCACCGAATTAAACACTGGCGGCGCCGACCCTGTTGCCAGCGGAGGGCTGTTCTATTTACAATATGGCCTTGCAGTGGCGGCCAATACTTGCTGTGTTCCTCGTCGCCCCCCACAGCTCGATATGTGTGTACCACAGCGCAGTCATGCAGTCTCGTGCGTACAGCATGTAGACGGCTGCAGAGTACGATCAAGTTCAAGCCGTGGCACTTGCAGCAAGCCAACCATTTTTCTTGACTGACATTGTTGGTACGATGTGCTCTTCAGCTCGTCTAGTCCTCGTCGAATATCTGGAGCACGTTGTCGAGAATGGTGACAATAACACGGGCTTGCAGCCCAGCGTCAGCCATGTTGTTGCCCTTGTGAGGACCCATTATCGATGGTCTATGCACGGTCAGTGGTTGTTAGAACAATGCAGTCCATCTTCACTTACGCCCAGCAGATGGCCAAGTTTGCAGTGCTCATGCGATTAATCTCCGACGACTGTTGGACTCGGTGCAGATGTAGGGAAATAGCACGAAGCGTGGCGTAGTTTGGGTCGGGCAAGGCATTGATCAGAGCATGCATCGAGTCTCGGCGCATGGTATCGTCGTCGATTCGTGCTGCATCGATGTACTTGTTGTAGAACTCGCGCGTGAGAAGTGGATCTGGCAGCTCGCGGAAGAACTGCTTCAACAACCCTGCCACACTATTGACGTCGTGTTGGAATGCTTCGGGATTGCGAAAGTCCACTTGCGAGGCATCTGACTTGTGTTAGGGTGACCAGCCAATACATGTTGTCCACGTAACATACCACTGTCGAACAGAGCCTTCATTTGCTGGATATGTGACGAGGTTCCTGGAATGCGATAGATGCCCTCTACCTCCAATCCATAGAGGTCTACTGCCTGAATGCATTGGTAGACTACCATGGGCACGGGTGAGCCGTCTCGCCGGAACAGTTCATCTAGGCCGACACCAAAGACGGGATTGACTGGGGGCTGGCTGCTGTTGTAGAGCACACCGCTAGTCTGCTGTGCTGTGGCCTGGCCGCCCGAACCTCGCGGATATTCCGCCGGTGCATAAGGCGCTTGGTTCACGGGAGAGTAGGGGGAAGTGGGATATGGCGCTGCCTGAGCCGGTGGTGGTTGATGAGGCGGCGCGGAAGGCGGCGGCTGCGAGAAACTGCCAAAGGAGGGCTGATGCGGAGGCTCCGAGTGTGTCGCGCTTTGCTGTAGGGGCGAAGTAGGGTTGGCGTCGGGCTGTGGCGGTGGGAAGGACGGTGGAGGCGCCTGCGTCTGCAGCTGTATTGAGGGACGACTAGTCCCCACTGGCGGCGCCGGATGAGATCGTGTGGGCGTCTGGGTCGGATGCTTGACGTACTGTAGCTCTGCCTTGGACAGCGGGCCTTTGTTGGCCTGGCTCAAGACAAACTCGTCAAAGTCTCGCTCGTTGTTGATCTGGTAGATGATCTGGTTGATGCTGGGTGGCGTGTGGGCGGTGCTGCCCTTGAGCGGCTGGGGTGTCACAACTTGGCCGTTGTTGACCACGAGCTTCTCGTTGAATGACGCTGGCACTGTGTGAGCTGCATTTCCGAGTCAGAGGCGATGGACGTACCAAACTTCTGCATCTCCATGGTGAGCGCAGCATCGGTTTCCTTGATCAGGTCCAGCAGCGCAGAGACGGCCTGAGGCCGCGTAGTGGCCACCAGCTCTTTGCGCAAGGCCTGGGCCGTCTGCACCTTGGAGGCATAGTCCTGGTCGGCAGCCTGAGTCTTGCGCTGCAGGTCCTCCTCGTGCTGCGCGGCCGACTTGGGGCCCTTGAGGCCAAACTTTCTGCCGGCGCCCGTGTCGCCCGTCTTGACGCGGTCGAGGTCTTCGGCCAGCTGGTCGTACTTGGCCTTTGCCTTCTCCGCCAGCCGTTCGGCGTCCAGCACCTTGTTCTCGGCGGCAAGGCCCTGCGTCTTCCATGTCTTGCGGTTGCCGTCCATCTTGTTGGCTAGCTGCAGGAGGTTTTCCTGCATGGCGTGCAGGGCGAGGCCGAACTGGGTGCCATTATCGGCAATGCGCTCGTTGGCATGGAGGACCTGCTCGAACTGCGCCTGGTAACTCTCGTGGCGCGCATCGGGCTTGCGGACATTATCGAGCCCCAGACGACTGAGTTTCTTGAGGCTGCTCGCATGCTCTTCTTCGAGGGCGCCGCGGCGCTTGAGGAAGTTGGCAAAGTCCTACCACGTATGCGTAAGCGGGGTCGCCTGCAAATGTACTGGGGGCGCGGCGACTCGACTGACCCTGACACTCGCAATGCTGGCCTTGAGGCGGTTCAGCAGCGTCGAAACTCCCACGTCCGAGTGCAGGATCTCGCTGACGCGCTGCTGCGTCTGCGCATCGTGGGGCGCAGTCCGCTGTTCCGGCGACGTGGGCGCTGTCTCGTCGCGCGGCGAGGCGGCAGCGGTGCCGTCCCGAGAGGGGTCGGATATGCTGGTGAATTCGGGATTGAAGCCGTCGGAGCTGTCCATGGGCGGGATCGTGGGCGGGGCGGTCATGGCGGTGGTGGTGATGGCGTGTACATAGATAGATGAGCATGTACGTATGTAGTGGTAGATATTCGTGTAGTGCAGGCCAAGGGACGCGCAACCCCGTCGGGCGGAGTCGCTGCACCGACCATCAGCCCGCCCAACGTCATCGTTCCCGCTTGTCAGGCTCTGCCCGCCCTCGCAGACGCAGCCACAGCCAATCTCCCCAGAAGTCGACCACCTGCATCGCCATTATTCAAGGGCTATCCTGCGGGACCGTGCCCCTTTCTCTGCTCTTCCACCCCCCTTGCACACGCCCGCCATGGCCAACAGCTTGCCAGAAGAGGTCGTCACTTGCCTGCAGAATGCCCGCTTTGTAAGTCGTCTGCTCCATCAACATGGGCTTGTTGATAAGGGCGCCCCCCGCATGCTGGTTACCGCTGCCCTCCTCTCTAGCATTCTCCTTGTATCACATGTTCTAATTTCCATTCTGTCATATTTCGACTTTGCACCATCTCTCTCTCTCTCATTTCTGCCGATTCTGATGGATGACAACAGCTTCATCTTGCAACGTGCGCGGACAACATTCCCCATGTCTCCCTGATGAACTACACCTATCTGCCTAGCACGCCCTACTCTTCCACTCCCATCATCATCATGACAACACCCTCTTCGTCGCGCAAGACGCTCAACCTGGAATCAAACTCGCTTGTCTCTCTCCTGGTGCACGACTGGATATCTCATCGGCCGCCTACTCTAAGTCAGCCGGGTCGCTCGCCATCGCCAGCCCGTCCCGCGCCACGCGCAGGATCATTGGCTGAGCTTCTCCTTGGCATCAACACGGCCTCGCTAAGTCGAATCAGCACGACCATCAACGGGACCGCGGAGCTGATTGCCTCGGGATCCGAGGAAGAAACTTGGTACAAGGCGCAACATGTAGCCAACAACACGTTTGGCGAGGGTGAAGATGCCTACTCGACTTCCCCGGGCGCAGAGGGACTTTGGGGTGGTGCTAGAGCCGCAGACGGGGAAGCTCCCCAAGAAGGCGACACAGGAAACCAATGCTATCTGGACGGAGCAGAAGTCAGGGTGGTCATTGTCAAGATCCGCGACGGGAGGATTGCAGACTGGAAAGGTCAAGTACGCGATTGGACGCTGTCTGAAGGCGCACAACATTCCCTGCCAAACGGGACAACATAGTGCGTCTCTGGTATGGCCTGAGGTAAGGCGTTTTGTATGTTAAACACTCCAAAGTTATGCTGCCATACGTGCAATCACAGCTATGTCTTGAAGCTGCACGTCGTTTGTGCGGCTCACATATGCAAGGTCTCCCGTATACAAGACGTCGACGCTACCCATTCCAGTGGATATCCGATGGGCCCAATCCTTCCCGTCCCCACAAAAGCAGATCGGATACTCACATGGCGCGCATCCCATCATGGTAAAATCTACGCGCTTGCCCAAGGGCATTGGCGAGTGGTTCTACCGTATCGCCACCGCTGTCTCTTATGCAAGGGGTCCTTTCCCAACCCTTGGTCGTTTGTGCCGCATCACACATCAAATCACAGCGACCTGTCTTAGTCCTATTCCGTGCGTGGCGTCAGCCTATTTCCTTTGTCTCAAATATCAAGTCGCAGACAAAAAGCCAAACAAATTCACGTTTTGCATCCCCCTTCTCTTTCTCCCATCCAAGTCGCTGCACATGGACTAGTCTTGTCCAAGCACATACCACCACCAACACTCTTGACATGCAGCAGTGTTGCATCTCGGGCTTGCTGAATCCCACCAAAAGGGTCCACTAGGCTCTCACCTCACTTCCCCCGACACAGGTAACTCCCGTCTTTTTTTCCCCTGTTTTTTGCCTCATCACTCCCCAGCCTTCTCGTGCAATAACGAAGCTATGACGAAGAGCTAGCTGACTGACTCTCTCTCTCTTTCTCCCCCCCACGCAGCCCTCAATGGCAGTTCCCGAACCGCATCCAAGTCCAAGCGCTCTCTCACTGCCCAATCCCGACTAAACCCCCCCCCCAAAAAAAGTTCTCTCGAGTTTTGCTTGTCCAAGTCAACATTGCTGTTCTATCCTATCTCACTTCACTCTCTCTGTTACTGGCTGCCTGCCTTCCCAGCCCCACAAGTCTCAAACAAGACGTGGCAAGCAAAGGTGAACTTTGGCTGGTGAATCCGACCTCTCGACTTTTTGCCTTGCTTGGTCCCCACGCCACCGCCAATAGGTGAGTGAGGAACGGCCCTCTCCCTTTCCCCCCCACGTCACCACCACCACCCCCCTCCCAAGAAAACAAGCCATCTTTTTACGAAGAAAAGTGGGCGATGAAACTGACCGTTTGCTAGCTAGCAAAGGTGACGACTGAGAGAGAGAGAGACTCGAGAGGCTTTTTTTTACTTTCTCGTTTCTGCCTCACCTTGCCTTGCTTTGAACCGTTTGCTTTACTTAGCCTCGCCACCGTCACCGCCGTCGCTTTGCGCTTGGCAACGTCACACACAACAACAACGACAACGACAAAAAGGCTGTTCTCTTTTACACGTCCTCTTTTCTTTTGGTCGTACTTGGCACTGGAGCTTTTGAGGTTTCTCACTTTTTCCACTCTGACGGCGACTGCGACGAGCATACGACGAGGATACGACGGCGAGTTTCGAGGCGAGAAGTCGTTTCGAGGGTTACGCTTGCTCTTTGATAACTCCTCGAACCTGCACCTACGTCGCCCAAGCCATACACCATGTCACTGGTAAGAGACCCAACCGGTGCTGAAATCGCAAGATTTCTTGCAACCCGGACTGGTGCTCAGATGGTTCAATTGATGCGCTGCATCAAAGAGCCAGCTGCGCAAGCTGCATTCACGGCTAAGCTATTACTCGCACCTCCAGCTGTGAGCGGGCGGCCTCCCACTCCAGAGAAAGCGAGGAAAGCCCTTAACGCCTTTGTCGGATTTCGCTGTAAGTTGACATCACTTTGAAACATGCTATAAGCTAATGTGAAAATTACAGGCTACTACATCACAATCCCTATCTTCAAGCAATGGCCTATGAAGAAACTTTCGAACCTCATTGGCCTTCTATGGGAGGCGGATCCGAACAAGTCACTTTGGTCTTTGATGACGAAGGCCTGGTCCACTATCCGTGATCAGATTGGCAAAGATCAAGCTCCGCTTGACCACTTCTTCAGCCTCATCTGTCCTTACCTCAACTTGCCTGATCCCGCCTCATATCTGGAGATCCACGGATGGACTCTCAGTGTCGACGAAGAGGGCGATCCAACGATCTCTCGAAACATCGGTTCCGAATCCGCATTTGCTGGTACGGTACAAGTCGATGTAGCACTCTCCGTCGAGGACATTATCACATACGTTCAGTCCATGGGATACGCTACGAAGTTCATTCCTAACACCAATGCCACCTCACAAACCTTCCTTGGACAGTCGCTCAGCTCGTCCTTGGAGAAGAATATCCCCGCTACCGCAGCGACACAAGATTCTTCGAAGGCAGTTGAGGCTCGCTTACTTGCACGTAACAAGCGCCGAGCGAAGCGACAGGCAGCTAGAGACACAGGCAACAGGGCAAGTCTCGACCAAGACATTGCTAATGCGCACAAGATTGGCCCTTCTCGTGTAGACAAGTACATGCCTGAGAGCTACTCAACCACTACCCCCGTTCCTAACTACGAGCATAATCCATTCTACGATGGGCTCACTGGCCTTTTGTCAGACCAAGTACCCCACAGCCAGAACGATGCGTATATGCTCGACAATACACATCTGTTCAATGATTCTGGTCTCTCTAACGACATCTCAAACATCATGATGGACGGATTCTCCACGAACATGCCTGATTTGATCGACTATGAGGCCTTTCGTTTCGGCGCTAACGAGGATGTCACACTTCCGACATTCAACGATGCCGACCAGGCCTAACTTGGCTTATGCATATCAGACTCGATCTTGAAAAGTATGCATCGGAAGCACATCAACACATCCTTGGGTACCCACCCTCGAACCCAGCTCACCCCATCGACGCCATGTATTCCGTGTCCGCATTCCCCACGCTTCCCCGCCATCAATGTGTTTGCTCGATGCAGCCACCCGTTTCCGCGCTTCCTCGCCAACGCAACCAACTCGCCTGCCCACGCCCCATCGCAAGCCACAACACGACCATGACATTTCCGTCCTTGTACCAATAGAAAAAGCGAGAAAAAAGCCCCCCTATACCTTTGCTTCTTCTACACGCGCTGCTTTCCTGCTCTACACATGCGATACTTTCCTGCTTCTACACATGCTAGTTTCCATGCATTGCGGTAACGACCCTTTCCTTTTTCTTCTTCTCCTTTTCTTTCCGCTCTTCCAATGTAACTTAGTTCGAGCGGGCTTTTCGAAATGCACAGCTGGAGTCTGACATACTTGATGTGGCGTGCGGCGGGGACAACACGACGGATGAATGTAATGTATTTGCATAATGAAATGACGGTCTTCATTTCCATTTTCTCGCCGTGTGATGTGCATGTGGTGCTTGTGTGTTGAGGAAATATGTATGGATAGTACGGTCTCGACGGAGATATCGCTGCGGATACATGGTATCCTGGTCTAGGCGGGCGACGCGTACTCAGGGCTTGAGGACTGGGTATGGGACATGAGTGGTCTGGTGATGGTCTTGTCGTACCTCATTCATACCATACATGACTGTCAGCGATTGTGACTACACACTCTAACATCTCCAGAATTTGTCGTCGTGAATCAGACATGGAACACTCCGCTTACCATGCATCTTCGACCGGCCACCTGAGCACGAGGACCTGTGCTATTCTTTAATCTCAACAATCGCTTCGTGAAATCATATCTTCCCATCATCCTCAAGCATATCTCTCTCCAGAACCCCCGACAAGCTCCACTCGCGCGCGCGAAACCTCATCCGCTGTACACGCTGCACTGCTATCCGCGACAAATAGCCGAAGCATGGAAATACCATCGTGTCAAGCCCGAGTCATCCTTTTACACCTCATCGAGGGCAAATACCAGAGATACGTCACAAATCTACAAATACAATTCCAGCACTGAAAGTCACGCATATGTAGTAGATAGATAGTCTTAGTCGTATGTAGCCTGGAGTTGACATGCGTGTTACATCGACACCAGCACATTGTGTTAGGGATAATATCCCTACTAGGAATATAGGTCTGGTTGGGTTGTATGAAAAATCTAGAGATTAGTCTGTGTTGGCCACGATGGTGTGTTTTTTGGGGAGTCAATATGAATGCCGGTCATGTGACGAGAGATGGGCATAGTTGCATCCATGTGTTGCAAGGGGCAGACTTGGAAGAAGGGGCCAGTGTGTGAGGGAGCATGTGAGATTGTGATAGAGTTTTGGGAGAATAGTTGTGTTGATGGGGGGTGTTCGTAAAGTAATTATTAAAAAAAAGAGCACGGTGAAAGGGAGGGATGGAGGGAGGGTATGTAGGCATTTTTATTAGTGGTGATGGGTTGAAGAGTCTTGGCGCTACGGTACTTAGGTACATGGAGCGGAAATCGAGTGTATTGGTACTTATGTCATTCTTTCTCCCAGCCAAGGAGAAGGAAAAAAAACCGTGGGGGTACACGTTGAAATTATTCCTGTTTCCTGAATCCTAGAAAATCCAACCCAATTGAGTTTTACAAATCCCTTCGGATTCACCCACATCCGTTATCAAAACCAATATACTTCCTCCGCTACTTATATAGGTATTCCTACTTCGCACTCCACGGAGCATCTCTTACTGAATCCCCAAATCCATCACGTCGCTGCACAACCAGCCAGCCATCAGGATCCAAGAGAGAGAGAGAGAGAGAAATCAACTCCCCGCGGCGACAACGCCAATCCGCAAGACCGTGATTGCTGCAAAAACATAATTACCGCGGAGCAGTCTTGCATTCCTTACCTCCCCCCTCCCCCACATACCCCGGATCAAAGTTTGGCATGCAAACGCGCATGTGACAAGGAGAGAGAGAAATATTTACACGACATACATGATAGATAGATAGGGTACCTTGGCGCTACTGAATCGAGGGAATCGGAAAGGTCGGGATTTAGTGTCACCTACATGATGATGCAAAGAGGAGGGATTTTTTTTTCGATATAAAGATCCCAGGCCCTCATCATTGTATCTATGTATGTATGGACATGGATCAATATATATACAAGGTGTGGAGATTGAAGAATGAAGTCATGCGTCGACGGGGTGTAACGGAGAAGCATACGGAAACGGTGTAGGCGGAATCAGAAAGGGGAAATTTCCTTCCAAGCCACTAGCCGTTTGGTTCCTGGGGCCATCTCTTGAGCTACTACTTATCTGCTCCAGTCAGGCTCCTTGGTCGTTGGTGGAATGCACACACCCCGCAAGTGCGGCCGATCGACCCATCCCTGGACCGCCCGCTGCAAATGCATGCAAAGGTGTCGGGTCACGCCTCAAAGAGCAGACTACCCAATGGAAGTGCTGCAGTGCGAGTCTGGTGGCTGACTGCCGAGCTGAAGCCCGGCGCGTGGAAACGAGATAGACTACTCGACGTACATAGATACACCGGACTGCATTGATGGATCGAGGAATGCGCATATTGAATTGACCCGACGCAGAAAACCTCCAAGATATTTGTTTATGATGTGGTACCCACACTGGACTTTTACGGCATGTCATGTGAGGAGGAGCTGAATCAGAGGCAGAGGCCGAGTCCAAAGTCGGACACAGCATAGTCCTGGAGGAATCAGCACATTACACAAAAAAACAAGCATTACGATCCAGGCGACGGCAAATCGCTTCAAAAGAGGACTCTGATGTTATCACACGCTCCTATTGCTCACATGCACTCTGTACCGGTCCAGGGGATGCGCATGTTGCGCAACCCTGGTCAGCCGCTCCCCGAGCGAACCGATCATTACCCGGCCCAATCTCGACCCCGGCAGACAGGCCAATCCTGCTCGGGCATATGTCTATTTGTGTGCGTCGCGTCCTTTGCATGTCCATCGCTATTACCAGAACGCCACAACTAGCGTCGACTCTGTTATGGTAGCAAGGGCGGAAGCCTCGTCAGCTGGCGGGGGGCGGGGGCGGGGTGGGCTTCAAAGGCTGACTATATAGCCCATGAGCCATGTTGGTCCGTCGAGGAGTTGGGCATTGCCATTGACAAGGCTGTCAGTCGTCCAAGTCTCGTTGGTTGACCCTTTGGTTCGGGCATTCGCACCAAACCCATATCTCGCACCTTCTCCTGCGGACGCTTTTTGTCTGCACGACATTCTTTTTGTTGCTGCGAGTCGCTCTTTCATCCATCAATCCATCATGGCATCACTTCTCTTGTTGGCGCTTTCCGGCCTCGCCGCGGGAGCCGCTATCCAACAGCGCGATCCTGTGCCTAGCGGCTATGTTGCTGCACCTTATTATCCAGGTATGTTGTTGGATCATTCGCTCTGTTCTTGTGACACTAACCGTTTGCAAGCTCCTCATGGTGGATGGGTGTCGGACTGGAGCGAGAGCTACCGAAAGGCCTCTCTGCTCGTGTCCAACATGACACTGGCTGAAAAGGCCAATCTCACGGCTGGAACAGGAATCTTCATGGGCCGCTGTGTAGGAAATACCGGCAGTGCCCTGAGAGTAGGCATTCCCCAGCTTTGCTTGCAGGATGGTCCGTTGGGCCTCAGAAACAGCGACCACAACACTGCTTTCCCAGCAGGCATCACAGTCGGAGCTACATGGGACAAAGACCTCATGCACCGACGTGGAGTCGCCATAGGAGAGGAGTTCCGCGGAAAAGGAGTGAATGTGCACTTGGGACCAAGCGTAGGCCCTCTCGGACGCAAGCCGCGAGGTGGCAGAAGTACGTATTTGGAAGACCACACGTCTGAGCAGCAGCGTGCTTACAAGAATTGCAGACTGGGAAGGGTTTGGCGCAGACCCCGTTCTCCAGGCGTTTGGAGGCGCGTTATCCATTGAAGGCATCCAAAGCACCGGCGTCATTGCTACCATCAAGCACTTGATTGCGAACGAGCAGGAAATGTACCGCATGTGGAACCTTGTCAAGCCAGGCATTTCGTCCAACCTCGACGACCGCACGCTGCACGAGCTCTATCTCTGGCCGTTTGCAGAGGGTAAGCTATCATTTCGACTTGTTTGAGACTTCTGCGGAGAACTTACCCAGTGACACTACGTTAATATGAAGCCGCCAAGCAAGATACACCAAAGCTAACCATGTTACACAGGTGTGCGTTCGGGTGTTGGCTCCGTCATGATTGCCTACAACGCTGTTAACGGAAGTGCTTGCGCACAGAATAGCTACCTGATCAACGGCATCCTCAAGGACGAGCTTGGTTTCCAGGGCTTCGTCATGTCTGACTGGCTAGCCCAGATCTCCGGTGTCAGCTCAGCGCTCGCAGGCTTGGACATGTCGATGCCGGGAGATCGCAACGACATTCCACTTGTGCTGGGAACCTCGTACTGGATGTACGAGCAGAGCCGCTCCGTGCTCAACGGCTCGCTCCCCGTGGACCGCTTGAACGATGCCGTGACACGCATCCTAGCGACCTACTTCCAGATGGGCCAGGACCAGAACTACCCACGCCCCAACTTCGATACCAACACCCAGAACGCAGAGGGTCCGCTCTACCCTGGCGCTCTCATCTCGCCGTCGGGAATCGTCAACGAGTTTGTCAATGTCCAGGGTAACCACGCCGAAGCTGCGCGTGAAGTAGCTCGCGATGCCATTACCCTGCTGAAGAACAGCGACAACATCCTTCCCCTAGCCTCTAGTGCCAGTCTCAAGATTTTCGGAACCGATGCCGAGAAGAACCCAGACGGTATCAACTCGTGTAACGACCAGGGCTGCAACAAGGGCACCTTGGGTATGGGCTGGGGAAGCGGCAGTGCTCGTTACCCATACATGGACTCACCCATTGATGGCTTCAAGGCTCGCGGCGCCAACTACCAGTTCTTCAACACCGATTCGTTCCCCGGAAACTCGAACCCGTCGCCAAACGACACTGCTGTTGTCTTTGTGACGGCCGACTCGGGAGAGAACTACATCACGGTTGAGGGCAACCCCGGAGACCGCACTTCGGCCAACCTGAACCTGTGGCACAATGGCGACAAGCTCACCAAAGATGTCGCAGCCAAGTACTCGAACGTCGTTGTCGTCGTGCACACCGTCGGCCCCATTCTCATGAACGAATGGTACGATCTGCCGTCGGTCAAGGCAATCGTCTTCGCCCATCTGCCAGGCCAAGAAGCCGGAAACTCGCTGATGCAGGTGCTCTACGGCGACGTGTCTCCATCTGGTCACTTGCCCTACACTCTGCCCATGTCCGAGAGCGACTACCCCGACTCTGTGAACCTCGTTGGATACCAGCTTGGCCAGCCCCAGGACACGTTTACCGAGGGTCTCTACATCGACTACCGCCACTTCCACAAAGCGAACATCACGCCTCGCTATGCCTTTGGTCACGGCCTCAGCTACACCAACTTCTCCTTTTCCGGTGCCACCATTACCCCCGTTACGCCGCTCACGGCTACGCCTCCCACGCGCCCAGCCAAGGGCAGCACGCCGGCGTACTCGACCACCATCCCGCCGGCGTCCGAGGCATACTGGCCCGACAACTTCAACCGCATCTGGCGCTACCTGTACTCTTTCCTCGACAAGAAAGACGCCGACGATGCGGCCAAGACTGGAAGCTCGCCTTCGACATATCCCTACCCTGCTGGCTACTCCAACGAGCAGAAGGCTGGCCCCGCAGCAGGCGGTGCCCAGGGAGGCAACCCCGCGCTTTTCGACGTCGCATACGATGTTTCTGTCACGGTGACCAACACGGGAAGCCGTGCGGGCAAGGCCGTTGCGCAGCTGTACGTGCAGTTCCCCAGCCAGAGCACCGTCGACACGCCGATTGTGCAGCTCCGCGACTTTGCCAAGACATCGACGCTGCAGGCCGGAGCTAGCCAGACGCTCAAGATGAGGGTCACGAGGAAGGATCTTAGCGTTTGGGATGTCGTGTCGCAGAATTGGGTCGTTCCGGCCGTCAGTGGCGACTATGGGGTTTGGATTGGCGGATCTTCAGATGACCTGCATTTGAGGTGTGGTACGGCGACGAAGAGCTGTGCGGGAAACCAGAAGAGCCCGGTTTGAAGACGTCGGTCGATTGACATGACATGAGCGGGATTTCGGTACGGCTGATATTGATACCTCTAGTGTTTAATGTTGATGTTAGTTGCCATGTCCATTATTGGTCCATGTTTGACGCTGCATTCCAGACGTGCATCTTGTGTCGTTGCTTTATTCCACGCCCCCTTTATGTAACACCAGAAGCTATGACGTGATGAAGGCGAGACGTGACAAAATTAATACTTCATATACGAGCATTCAACTTGATGCGCAGCCCGTATAACTTCCCCTATTTTTTTCTTACCATTCAGCAAAAGTGCAGCCCGAGAGTCCCAGCCGTCTGGGCACATGGATGCAAAAGCTGGGCTGTTGGGACTGGTCAGCATTTTCTTCTCAATGCATAACGAGAGACGGGTGTTTGGCTGGGCACTATTGCTATGGTTACCACGGAGGAAACCTCGCGGTAGGCCGAAAGCAGCAAAGAAGCCTTTTTGGGCTGCCCCGCGAATTAAAAGCAAATCAAAACGTCATTTCGACGAGCTTCAAATCACGAGGTGACGTTGACAGGTGGTCCAGGATCCATGACATGAACCATAGCCTAATTCATATAATTTAGGGGTCGTCGGCCGACGCGAGGCGACGGGAGCGAAGGGGGGAGGGTAGTGGTGGTGGAAAGTGTCCTCAACCGATGGTCGTGATTGGCTGAGGGCCAGGGGAGATTGCGATGGATTCATGCCCGTGTGCGACGTGATTGGCTTGACTCGCGCTTCTTCATCCCTGACGTGTCGCGCGGGGAGCTCTTACTACTACGGCATGTAGTCGTGGTAGCATGTAGTCAGTGTTATTTTCGGAGCTGAGCAGCCGTTGGCAGCTGTCCTGTTTCGGGAGCCCAATCAAAGACAGAGAGCGTGTATGAGTGAGAGAGCGAGCGAGCGAGAGCACTGTCAATGGTGAGTCGAGCTGGGGCGGGACACGTTGGGGGAGGGGGCACAGAAGGCGTGCACAGTGCATGAGGTCGGAGGGCGCAAGGGGGGCCGTCTTACGATGAGGTAATTTCAGGGTGAATTGAGCAGCGGCGGAGGGAGCGTGGAGCGCAGGGCGGATGGATGGAAGCTTGTACAGTGGTGAGCGGCGGGCTTTTTTTGTGCTGTGAAGGGCAGAGGGCGACGAGGGCGAGAGGGCGAGGGCCAGCTCGAGGCCAGACGTCACCTGGAGCTATGATGCTTTCGGGCTGGGCCAGTCGTTATGGTTACTCCCACTCCGGAAAGCACACCTGTGACTGACTCCTTCCTGTACCGGCTTCCCCAGGGGTTCTCATTCACCCTCCCCTCTCTGCTCCTCCTCCTCGCCTCCCCCCCAAAGGCTGCCCGAGATCAGAAAAGGACCCAGCATCCCCCCGGCCTGCAATCCTCACTGCCAGCGTTCTGCCGTTGCATGTAAGTGTTGTTTGCATCGAGTGGACCCCCCCGAGCCCATGAATCCCTGTCACCAAGTCGTCACTGCTTGTACATAAACACAAATTGGCCGAGTTTCAGGCGCGGACCACCGACACTTCTCATACGTATCCCATCCCATCGCTGCGCCTGCGTGCGTTGCTCTCCTCGACACCACCCTGCCCGCACAGCACCCGGACGATTGCAATCGCCTGCTGCCGCCATGTCCAACGGCGTGCGCAATCTGCGCGCCATGTTTGAAAACTCCAACTCTGCCTCGCCCGAGCCCCGCGGTCGCTCCCCCGTAGACCATTCGGCCCCAGCAGACAGCGAGGAGCGTCCGCGATCAAAGGTACGCGCCTCGTTTGTCGCCGTCGAGCCCTCGAGCGCCTACATCCCGCCCGAAGTGGCCCTGGCCCTGGCCGCCGCCCAACAGCCCAACAGCACCGTTGCCCACCGCCGCGAGAGCTTCAGCCTGAGCGAGGACCAGGCCGACGAGGTGGCCGAACTCAAAAAGGTCGTCAGCGATGAGAAGGAGGAGCGCAGCAAGAGCCTGGCCATTCCTGAGGCCGTGCCCGAACAGGCGGTGGCGTCGAGGGAATCCTCGCTGTCGGCTCCTCTCGACCGACAGCGACAAGAGAAGCAACAAGAAGCCACCGAAGCCCCAAAGCCCGATTCTTCCGCCAAACATTCCGAGCCCTCAGACGCTGCACACGAGACAGCAGCAGCACCCGCAGTTCCCGAAGAGCCCAAAACCGACGACACCGCCGTCGACGACGCAGAGCCATCCCCAATGCCATCATTAGAATCGGCTCCCGCCCAGCCTGCCCAAAACCCGGACAAAGCTACTACGGGTGCCCAGGAGGATCTCACACTGAGGCCAGCTGCCCCTACAGAGGAAGCTGCTGTCAAGGAGGACATCCCTGCTGCTGAGGAGGCCGCCATCGAAGAAGCTGCTGTCGCAGACGAGGCTGCTGTCGCGGAAGCTGCAATTGCAGACGAGACTCCTGTTGCTGCCGAGTCTGCTTCTGCACCCTCAGCCGACAAGGCGGTTGTTGAAGCCCAAGGCGAGGCTGCACCGGACGCAACTCCGGCACCAGAGGCCCCGAAAGCCGCTGACAGCAAGCTCAAGACAAACGGAGCTTCTACAGCGAAGAAGCCTGAGACCAAGAAGCCTTCGACAATTTCTACTGCCAAAGCTTCAAAGGCACCCTCCACAGCCGTGAAGAGCCCTCTCCCAAAGACCGGACCCAAGACACCTCCGAAACCCAAGGCGGCCACACCAGCTGTGAAGCCCAGCCCAGCCCCCAAGGTGTCGAAGCCAGCCCCTCTCAAGGAGCCCGTCAAAGCGCCAGCTGTAAAGGCTCCCACTCCCGCTCCCAAAGCTCCGGTTGCAAAGAAGACCAGTCGCACGTCTCTACGCCCTGCTTCCTCCGCTGCCGCCCCTACAGCTAGCGCAGCATCAAAGGCCAAATCTCCCACACCACCCACAGAGAGCAAGAAGCCCGCTGCACCGAAGCCCGCCGCACCCGCTTCTCGCAAAAGGTATGTATAGTCACGTTCCTGGACCATACAAGGCGCTGACACAGATCTAGCACCTCGCCAACCGGCTTCAAGAAGCCAGCTCCCAAGTCTCCCACACGCCCCGTTGGTCTGCCCTCTCGCCTGACCGCGCCGACTGCGGCCTCGGCTGCTAAGCATGGCGAAGAATCAAAGCCGACCGCACGGAAACCTTCCACTACCACACGCGCTCCACCGTCCAAACCCGCCGCTCCCAAGGCCGCGCGACCTTCAGTTGCCCCTAGTGCGCCAAAGCGACCAGAATCTCGTGCTTCGAATGTCGGTTCCGCACCCAAAGGCGGTTTCCTCGAGCGTATGATGCGCCCAACAGCGGCAAGCTCCAGCAAGACCCACGACAAGCCAGCCCCTGTACCGCACAAAGCCCCCGCCGCAGCCAAACCGAACACTCTACAAAAGGGCAAGAAGAAGGTTGAGGACGTTGCGGCAAAGGCCAAGGCGGCCGTGACCAACGGACACGACGATGAAGAGCACAAGGCCGAGGAAGAGGCTCCAAAGGAGTCTGAACATGCGGAGCAAGCGACGGAAGAAGCTGCCGCTGAAGAAGCGCCTCACGAGCCAGTTGAGGCTGCTGCTCCAGCCCCAGAGGCGGATTCTTCAACCGCAGAGCAGCAGACACCAAATCCTGAAGGCGAAACAATACAGTCATAAGGTACATGTGACAGCAGGATCTTGCGCTCCTGCAACTCTACCTACCCCTTCGCCAAGCCACCAGACTGTTGGTAATGTTCTTGGGCCACAGTTTTGTAATTGTTTGTTTTATTATCTTCCCTTCTCCAACAGCATTTTCTGGAGCGATTGTTTGGCGTAAATCATCGTCTTGGGAGGTGGATACCTTGGGACATGGGAGGGAGGGAAAGATGGATTTGGATACAGATCATTGCGTATATAGTTGTCCGTTGAGCTATAAGTACGTCTCGCATGCGCTACCAGACGGTCTTGTATATCGTAATCCATTCTTCACTCCACGGTTGCTTTTTCTCAATCTCTGGCTGTACACGAAGAATGTGACTGCGGTATATCTGGTGCGCAGTTGGCTTGGTGCTCAATCAACGCGTCGGCACGTGACACAATCTGATGTTTACGCAGTTTGGTTAATGAGACAAGTAATGTCCACTGTATTATAACCAGAACATATTATCTAATTGATTTGTTGTCTCATCTTCTTGATAAATGTATCTGCATGCGTTTTTCTGGATTCGCGAGCAAAGCTAGTATTTCATCATGTGTTGTTGTCTGTCAGCTCGCATGAGTAAGCGTAATCAGCATGTCGTCAGCAGATTGGCCTTGCTCTTTCTTTCATCGTCCAGCCGATTTCCCAAGCGAGGCCTTTGTGGCTTTTTATAAACAGCATGAGTCGCTATCCACATATGTACGATGAGGGGAAGTATGGAAAGGGGATGGCGGGTGCCCTTCGCAAGGAATACCAAGATATCCGAGACAAGATGCCTCGGCTCCACAATTCTCACGTTCCTACTGGCTGCCGGTAACACGTCCATCAAGTTGAATCGCATGCTTCGGTCAATTGCTTTGAGGCAATATCATATCTCTCATCTTTGAGCCGCTTCCTCCACTGCTTCTGGTATTGCGACACCGGATCTGGTATCCATTTTCCGGTTTGCTTTTGTCCAACAGTCACCGGCTATGTCAAGTAACCGCGCCTGATTCCATACGCGACATCTCTGCTAACCGGCTTTACTACTGCAGTTCTTCCATACGCGCTCCCGGCAGCTGCTGCCGGGCTTGCATACCTCAACGGTCGCCATGGCTTTACGCACGACCTGCCACTCCTATCAGCCATCGTGGGTAACGCTCTCAGCATCTCGCGCCTCGCAGGACGCGACCAACTGAACCTCTTCTACGAACTCGAATCGCATGCCCAGTCGTCACGGGCAAACCACCCTTGGATCATCTTCCAGGGCAACACATGGACGTATGCGCAGGCGTACGAGATTGTGCTCCGCTATGGAGTGTGGTTGGGCAGCAAGGGCGTCAACAAGGATGACATTGTCGCAATGGACTTTGTGAACTCGGAAGTCTTCATATGGATATGGTTTGGCCTCTGGAGCATCGGCGCAAGGCCGGCTTTTATCAACTACAACCTGACGGGCAAGCCGCTGGTGCATACCATCAAGACGAGCACGGCCAAGTTGGTGCTTGTGGATGAGAATGGCAAGGACAAGTTCAACGACGACACGCTGAAGGAGCATGGCCTCACTCGCACAGATTGCGCAGACAAGGTCGAGTACAGCTTTGAGCTGGAAGACTCCGACACGCCGCAGTCTGTGAAGAAGCATGCTCAGGCCTCGGAAGCTGCGACTGAACGAAAGATTGAAATCATCTTCTTCGACGATGCGTTGACATCGCACATCCTTACCCAACCGGCGACGCGCTTTCCCGACTCTTTTCGCTCAGGCCAAAAACCCACCAGCATGGCCATGCTTATCTACACCTCTGGCACAACCGGGCTTCCCAAACCCGCCGTGGTCGCGTGGAGCAGAGCTGGTGGTGCTGGTAATTTTGCTGCCACATGGATGGGACTCAAGAACGACACTTTGTACACGTCGATGCCGCTGTACCACAGCTCTGCCTCAATACTAGGCGTATGTGCTGTCCTCCGCAAGGGCTGCACAATTGCTTTATCCCAGAAATTCTCCCACAAGACCTTCTGGCCCGAAATCCGCGCATCCAATGCCACCATTCTACACTACGTCGGCGAAACATGTCGCTATCTCCTGTCGGCTCCTCCGTCCCCCTTGGACAAGCAGCACAAGTTGCGCGCCGCCTTTGGCAACGGCTTGCGCCCTGACATCTGGGAGCCCTTCAAGGAGCGCTTCGGCATCGAAACCATCTACGAGTTCTACGCCGCAACCGAAGCCCCCGGCGCGCTCTTCAACTGCTCGACAAACCCGTTTTCCACGGGCGCAATTGGCCACTTCGGCACACTCGCAAACACCATCTTGTCGCAGGAGCTCTGCCTCGTTCGCATGGACCCGGAGTCGGATCCCCCGGCGCCAGCCCGCGACCCCAAGACAGGCCTGTGCAAAGTATGCGAGTACAACGAGCCCGGCGAGCTCCTCACGAAGCTCGAGGCCGACAACATCGACAAGGGCTTCTCGGGCTACTACGGCAACGCCAAAGCCACAAACAGCAAAATCATCCGCGACGTCAAGAAAAAGGGCGACGCATACTTCCGCTCTGGCGACCTCATGCGCTGGGACGCCCAAGGCCGTGTCTGGTTCGTCGACCGCCTCGGCGACACGTTTCGCTGGAAAGCCGAAAACGTCTCCACGGCCGAAGTCAGCGAGGTCCTCGGAAAACACGCCGCCGTCGCCGAAGCAAACGTCTACGGCGTCCAGGTCCCGCGCCACGACGGCCGCGCCGGCTGCGCTGCAATCATCTTCAGAGACCAGCCGGGCTCTGTGCCCGCAGATCACGTCCTCAAGTCCCTCGCCGATCACGTCAAGAAACAGCTGCCGTGCTTCGCTGTCCCCATCTGGATCCGCGCCATGAAGGAAATGCAGCTTACAGGCACAAACAAGCAGCAGAAGCACTTGCTGCAAAAGGACGGTATTGATCCAGAGGTAGTAGAGAAGGAAGGCGACTTTTTGTTCTGGCTGAAAGATGGCGCCTATGCCCGCTTTACAAAGGCTGATTTGGAAAGGATTGAGGGTGGAGGTGTCAAGCTTTGATTTAGTTGGTCTTGTGTTTTTTGTTTGTGTGCACATGTAGGGAGGGAGGGGCATCATGATATCATATCCGGAGAAAGGTGATTGCATGGATCATTGTATATTTATATCTAGCCTGTCTTTGCTTTGCGCGTTCTCCTGGGTTTCTTCTTCGTGGGCTCCTCGTACAACTCGTCTTCATCTTCTTCGTCGTTGTCGTTGTCGACAAATTCTTCTTCTCCAGCATCCTCACCGATAACCCGATCTTCCTTTTCAGCCAACGACACAGGCTTACTCGTAGCAGCTTTTCTCTTCTTCTTGCTGCTCGCTGACGCGGAGGCAACATCGGCTCCATCTTCGCTATTCTCCTCCGTCCTCCCCGTAGCACCCTCTCTCTCCGCCAGCCGACTCAAAGCAGCACCGAGTCTCTTTCCCGTCGCAGCCTTGCCCTTTTTCTTTCCACTCGGCCCACTCGGCTCTCCATTCCTCACTCTGGGAGCAAACGCGCCCGCGCCTACCGTGCCTTCGAAGAACCTGGTGATATTGGCCTGTGTGCCCTCCTTCTCCCTGCGATTCATGTCGCGGATGACGGGGACAAGCACCTCATCCGTGCGCTCCGTGCTCCATCCAATCTGCGAACTCAGATAGGAGCGGAGAGCAGCGAGGTCGGGGACCCCCCACTGGAAGGGCTCCGGATCGCTATCGACCTCGGGATGGAGATACGCTTCTGCGACTCTGGTGTCCGGAAAGGACGACGGGAGAAACAGCTTTGTGCTCTGGTTCTTGCGAAACCGCTTTCGAAACGGGTGCTTTGCGTCGTCTTCTTTCTTGATGGATCCGTTCTGCACGCCATCCCACCACGTCCTGAAGGTGTCGAGATCCTTGAACTCGGAGAGGATTTCGAGAGCGGTAACGGGCCCGATGCCAGGGATACCAGGCGTGTAGTCTGAGCCGAGGAGCTGCGCAATGTCGATTAGTTTTTCGCGCGTGAGACTGAATTCCGAGGTGAGATCTTGGGACAGGTAGCATTCGACGTATTTTGCGGCGTTGAACATGTTCTTGTAGACGCGTGTGCCGCCAAAGAGAAAGGTATCCGAGTCGTCGGTTACGATGCCGTCGACAAGGCCCAGACGGACTAGCTCGGCGCATTGCGCCTCTGCTTCCATAGGGGCTGTGATGTATGGAAGGCCGAACAAGGTGAGCAGTTGCTGGCACTCTGAAATCATGGTCTGCGTAACTTCATCGGCGTCTCGGCGGTCCTTCTTTTGCTGAGCACGCAGTTGTTTGAGTTCTTCGTCAAAGTCCACACGTGAAGCAGTGTTGTTGGTGAGTTCTTTGGCGAAGCGCGCGTGTTCTTCTGCTTCTTTGGCGAGAGATGCGAAGAGCTCTTCGTCTTCTGGGTCAGAGTACTGGTCGGAATGATTCCTTTCAGCGATATCGATGGGAACATTATCATCAGCAACACCACTGTATGGAACAATTGGTTTGGTAAGATCTTCGGGCCCTTCCAAGGGTGAAAACTCTCTGGGAAGTTGACGTGACTTCTCCTGTCGAATTGGAACGTTCTCAAATTCGGGCGACGGGGACTGGGGATGCTCGGGTGCTGCTATGGTTTCGCCATGCAAAGGCACATCTTCAAACTCTGGTGATGGTGACTTGGCAGATTCATGAACAGGATCCGGCTCTGTCTGCATTGGTACATCTTCAAACTCCTCGGATGGTGATCTAGAAGCCTGCCGTGAAGGTGGCTTTGTTTCTCCATCATTTGTAACTTTGTGCTGCGAACGCCGTTCGTCTTCAGGCTCACTTTCCGACCAATCTATTGGCCCGTCATCAGAACCATCAGCAAATGGGCCCTTCTTGACTAGCGTAGGATCCTGAGGAGGCGGTGACGGTTGTTGTGGATAAAGCGGCTTTGGAGGCTCTGCTCTGATCTTGTCGGCCAGATCATCCATCTTCAATGTGGTGTTTTTGGGTAGTACATCTTCCATCTGAGCATCATCCTCGCCATCTGAGTCGATCGATATCACTTGCTTCTGGCCCTGACTAACAGGAGCGTCCACATCAATAATCTCCTTTGCGTCTGGCTTGCGCAAGCTTGGGAGCTCCTGGAACTGAAACCTGCTCTTTTCTTCTTGGCGGGCTTCTTCCCATTGTAACTTCTCTTCATGCCGCTGGGCGTTGACTTCCGATGCTATGTCTCGTGATGCATTGAACCAAGGTGGAAGTGGTGCTGCACTCTTCTTGTCCTCCGTGTACTCTTTCTCAAATCCGCCTGCATTGTCTGCCTCTAACTTTTCCATCTTCTTCTTACCAAGCAGAGAGTTACCCAGATTGAGCCTTTCAAATGGAAGAGGTCCATCAAATCCTGAGGTGCTGATCTTTCCAGATGCAGATTCAGTAGTCGATGCTGGGGCTTGAACGTGAAGTCTGGGTGATGGCTTCTGCACCTTAGCGGGGCGTTTTGACTTGCGAGACTCGGTCAGTGCGGCTTGTAGGTCCATATCATCTTCGCTATCACTGCCCTCAAAAGGGCCTTTTGCAGCCAGCTTGCTACTGCGTTGGTTGGCAAGCCGTCCAATGGCAAGGCCAGAGCCCTTGGTTCCGGCAAACGGATTGGTCTCTTCGACACGCTTCTGTTGGAAAACTTCACGAACAGGGTCTTCTTCAGACTCTTCAGCGCTTTCTTGATGCTGTCGTTCTCCTGGCTGTAGGGATAGTGCAATCGCTTGCTGTAGTTGTTCATTTTCCAGATCATCACCCGCATCCTCAGCCATATCATCTTCGCCATCGATAGGCACGTCTGCCCACTCTTCATCTTCGTTCTCGTCTGCAAGAAACAACGAGTCGGGATCCTGATTTGTAGGTATTGCCTTCTTGAGGGCGGCTTGCGCTGGCTTCTCCCTTCTTGACTTGTAAAGCTGTCGACGACGCGTTGCCAACTCATTTGCAATAAATTCACGTCCCTCTTCCTCCTGCACACTCAAACCTCCTTTGGGTTTTGGAAGTCGATTCAAGCCTTCAATCGGTACATCCTCGAACTCCTGATCATCTTCCCACTCTTCGTCATCCTCAGCTGGGGCCTGTGGTAGTTCCACGTCAATAGGCTTGTGTGCCTTTCCTATTTCCTTGTTCAAGACCACTCCAAGCGCCCAACCACCCTCGACCCCATCATTTTTCACAAGGACATACTCCCTGTCCCTCTCGCCAGCAACTCGATTGAAACCACCGCTGCCAAAAGCATCGTCGTTCATGCCATTGAGGTTCATCAAACGCTGTGTGAGTTCGTTGCGTTCGCGTACACGTTCAATCTGGAACTTGGAGAACGCCATTCGATCCGGGAACATTGCATCAAGCTGTTCCTTGGAATGACCCATTCTGAGCCGACTACGCAGTCTGGCTGCATTCAAAATGTTGTAACGATCGGCAGGAGGTAGGCTCTGGAAGAAGTGGCCATCAAAGTCAATTTTGGAGAAATCGTAAACATTGATATCTTCGCCTCTGTCGAACTGCCGTGCATATTCTTCCAATTCCTCCAGCGACATGACTCTGGGGTCGTTCGCAGCGCCCATTTCCGACATGGACTTGCCGAGGTCTGGCAGATGATATTGGTCCTTCTTTTTGAAGGTGCGGTTCTGTGTCCGTTCCTGGGGCGTCTGAAGCAATTCTTCGGCATAGACCAGGTTTTCGGGTATCTCCTCTTCTTGCTGCTTTTGCCGTGGATGTTTCGCAGCTTCCCTCCTCTTCCTGTCTTCTTCCTCAGCAGCCCTCTGCATCTGTATTGCCAGCAGCTTCCCAGCTGTCCTGACTGCATCGTCACGTCTACCCTCCCGGCGCGACTTACGGTGGCTGATGGTTTGTCGTTTCAGCGCCGGGGCACCACCGTCGAAGACGAAAACAGGCTTGATACCGATAAATAGTAGCTTGCATACTCGTCGGAAGAAACCGACAATATGGCTATTCCTCAGCGCATTTCCTTCCTTGTCGCGCACGGCCTTGAGGAACTGGTAGATCCAGATGGAAGCATCGACGGCGAGGCGCTTCTTGTTCAGCGTTTCGATCTTGATTGGCCGCGCGCAGGGCTGCAAAACGGTCCAGAGGCCGGTGACACCCATAGCGCTATTCTATGGAGGCGGGCCATCAGTTTCAGCAGGTAAGAGGTGTGTCGGTGGTAGGTCGAAGTGAGTTGTGATTGACGCTGCTGCCTTGTGATCTCGCGTTCAAGGCGCGTTGTCAATGACGACATGCCAAGCTCGGACCGCCATCCTACGCGACGTTCACGTGCACGGATCTATTCAAGCCTTTCGACTGGTTCACGATATTCCGATCCATCTCGTCATAGACAGAATTTAAAAAATATAACAATTACAATTTATACAGTCTAATCCAGTTATACTAAAGTGAATTGGTCTAATTGGCTGTTACTCAAGCCCAAGACCTATGCCAAGGTTCTGCGTTTCTTTGCGATCTTCTTCGTCGTCGCCAAAGTCGGCCTCGCCATGATCTTCTGCATCTTCTGCCCCAGCATCCGGATCGCCAAAATCTCCCCCATAGTGCTGCTGCTGGCGCCGAGAAGTGCTCTGTGATGGCTCGTCTTCGTCCGAGTCAACAAACACTTGACTTTGTTTCCTTCCAGTGGGAAGATCACCCAATCCAGCCGGATGTCGAAACTCAAACATTGAATTAGGACGATCATGACTATACGGTGAGGTACGCAGTCGGCCCTGGGCTGCTATAGGTTGTCCGGCATCAGGGCGTGGGGAGGCTTGCGGTGAGAGGGCTGACAACCAGCCGGTCAACCGCTTGGATAACGACGGGCTATCAGGGACATCAGTCTCCTTTTCCACGTTCGTGTCTAGATTAGCAAGAGCGTTCTTCTTCTTGCGTGAGAAAGTGAAACCTAAAGGAAGATCAATAGGTGAACCAGGTCGTGAAGGTCCGACAGACGAAGAAGACTCTGAACCAGATACAGGGTACGGCGCATCTCCGCCAGGCCCATCGCTCTTTGTTCGTTTGAGCAAGCTACGAAGATCCTCTTCGCTGATAGCGTTGATGATATCCTCGTCGCGTGCGCCGCGAGGCCTGTACTTTCGCCTGCCTTCCTGAATAGCACGTTCCAGCTTGGCCCGGTTCGCGATAAACTTCAACTTTGGGAATGCAGATTGCTGACCCACATGAATCATACGTGCCAGTCTTTGTGGTGTGGGGTCAGATAGGATGTGGATAAAGTCTGAGGGGATGGACTTGGGCCAAATGGTAATGGTTCCGCTAAAGCGCTGCAGCCAGAGCTCACTCCAGTCCTGACCTAGTGGTCTCGGCAACAGTTCGAGATGACGAAGGACTTTGAGCCATTTGTTGAGATCAAGTTTGAGATACTTTGAGTATAATTAGAACATGTACTATGGAGAATCTGGTTACATGTTGTGGTGTTCTGACGTACCTGCTCTGTGGCTGAACCGAGGAAGCCCCCTCTCCAACCGCGTCCGCGTCGGTGGGTGACAGGATGACCAACCGACCCACGAGACGAGAAGAAAAAGATATTGATGTGTGGGTTGACCTGACTAACAATCGAGAAGCGCACGTTGAACTGAAGGTTCAGTGCCTTGAGTGGTATGTCCGTCCTAAAGAACATAATGTTAGCAGAGTTTTCCCATATTGTCGAAGGGGGTGTAGCGAATATAGATGTCCAATATTTCGAGATCAGGAATCGCACTAGAGCAGCTTTCAAGCTTACCTTAGACTCCCATCTTTCCATTTGTGACCAAAAGAGTAAGGCGACAAGGTTCCGTCTCTGTTCTTTTTCATGAGTACCACCGGGTTCAGGATACCAGGAACAGCAGCTGACGCCAAAACTGCCGACCAAATAACACAGTCGGGGGCCGTGATGTAATTGGCGAGAATGGTGGGCGAGTGCGGGTCAGATGGTACACAGGAGACGTTTAGTATACGGCCGGTTCTTTGGTAGGCTTCTTTGAAAGTCAGGCTGCCGTGTGTCATCCAGGAACACCTCCTGGCCCAATCGACACTGTCGAATCTGGCACCAGTCTTCCACCATCTCTGCACCCATGTGAGGAATCCTTCGTGACATGCCGTGATTCGGTTAGCAAGTGCTGGTACAAGTAGTTTCTTGAGCTCTTCATCGGTCCTTGTACACAGCAATGCAGCAACAAGCGCACCGCCCGATGTGCCTGTGATGACTTCAGGCAGTAGCTCAGCGTCCATCAAAGCCTTGGCCACACCGAAATGGTAGTATGCAAATGTGGCACCGCCCGATAGACATAGCGCAGTTCGCCCAAAGTTACTGCCCAAATGTTTGAAGAGCGCACGCTTGTTGTCAGCATTAAGCTGTGTGGTTCGCAGGAGGAAAGAGAGTGAGGTCTCGGCTTCGTCGACAAACTTTTGGACAAGGTCTTTGGTTCCGTAGTATGTTTCGCTGTATAATCGAGGGTTCTCGAAACCGACGAAATTGTTCTTCATTGAAGCTGGAGGACGGTGTTAGCCCCTTTAAGTGTGTATACATGCATCATTCTTACCTTCCACCAGCGCGCGCAGATCTTCAACCGCCGTATGCGCGCCATTGGCATCCTTTGAACCCGAAGCACCCTGTTCCTCTGCTTCTGCCTTTTGTCGCAGTTTGACCATCTGTTGATGCACTCTTGCGATTGTCTTGCTGTCATAGTAAGCGTACTCTGCCTTCTCTTTCCACGCATCGTTGCCAAGGTATGTGTCAATCTCTCTTGCGGCATGGATCCATTCTTCGTAAGACCTCGCTGCCTGCAGGCGCTGCCGTAGCCTTTGTCGCGTTCCGCGCCATGTGACCCAATGCTCGTATAGATAGATGTACAAGCGCGTGAAGACGTAGGCAATGCTCAAGAAGAGCAGCCAGCCGAGCACGACAATGAGCAGCGGCCACTTGAGCAGGACATAGACAAAGCCCTCGCGGGTCTCGTCTTTGCCACGTCGCGGAGGGGCCTTGCTCTTCTTGCGCCGCTTGACGCGCTGGTGGACAGGTCGCCAGTCGTTCTGCGCCGAGATGAAGGCTCGTTCGGGCGGTGGCGACGTCAGATCCTCGGTCGATGGAGAGTTCTCGGGCGCGGCGAGGGCTTTTGCGAATTCGATAAAGTGCTCGTCCTGCACGAAGTCGTTATCGAAGTCAGGCAGCAGTGTGAAGTCGTAGCCAGCGTCGGAATAAGGCTCGGGGCCGTCGGTCTTTTTGTCGATATCAGCCATGGCGAAGGGAACAAGTAGGCGCGGGGTTCATTGTAGGGTAGTGAGGAGGGGAAGGCCGAGGTCACGTCAGATGAACGTGTTGAGCGTGCTGAGCGCGGCGGCGGCAGGCATGTGAGCCTCGAAGCTTCGGGCCTACGTCACAGGGCCGCGACCGTCTGGGCCGCCGCCCGCGACCCTTGCGCCGTTCCTGCAGACAAATCCTACCTGCTTGCTAGAATCCTCGCAACCCCAACGCCGCCATCGTCGCATCTGTACCACCGAAAAAGAAAAAAGGAGGAAAAAAAAGCCGAGCAGACTGAGCATAAACACTGGGAGTTTCCCGAGGCCCGCAATAAAAGCGTGCCAATAACTCCACCCGGGTCGTTGCTCTCCGCCAGAGAGGTATGCGGCCTCGCTCTCTCCTGCTCCAGGCCACTATCCGCTTCAGAACAACTCGCCCACTGCAATGGAGATTGCAAAGGTGCTTGATGACTCTTGCGGTCGAAACATCGTGCGATGACACTTCCGTAGCCATAGTCGAGAAAGGTCGTCAGCACGGCCGCACGACGGCACAACTTCATTTCCACAAGAAAGTGACATCGAACAACACCCAATATCAAGGTGTGCACCCGCTGGTGTCGCTTCAGTCTCACCAGGAGAGTCTTGCAACGCTCATTCAGGAGGCAATTCGCCATCTGCCCCTGCGCAATGGCCAGCTTCTTCCAAAAGCAGAAACCATGCAGCCAGGCGAAGTAGACCTTGCAACAAGGAGGCTGCCTGACTTCATCTCAGTCACGCGTGGACCAGGCATGCGTAGCAATCTTTTCACTGGTCTTGACACAGCAAAAGGGCTTGCTGTAGCATGGCAGGTAGTGGGCGTTTGCCGTTTGAAGAACTTACGACTAACGACCATCATAGAAACCTCTTGTCGGTGTTCACCATATGCAAGCACATGCCCTCACCCCGCGAATGGTGAGCGCTCTTGAGTCTGATACGAATCCTCTGCCAGAAGGCAAGTCTTTGTCAGCATCAACTGATGCCGACGTCACCCCCGAGTTCCCGTTCTTGTCAGTGCTGGCCTCGGGTGGCCATACGTTACTTATTCACTCCGCTTCTTTGACAGATCACCGTGTGCTGGGAACCACCCATGACATTGCCATTGGAGAATGTTTAGATAAAATCGCTCGTGTTGTCCTGCCTGCGGAATCGCTGCAAACAACGAAGAGCACAATGTATGGAGCGCTACTCGAGGCATTTGCATTTCCCAACAAAGAGGCCACAGGGCCCGTCGACACCCAACCGTCTGCCCCGATATCTAAGCAGTCCATAAACTCTGCTGAATCTTATCTGAACGGTTATGGACGCCAATATGACTGGTACAAAGTTCCAGCGAATCAGGAAGATGCAATCCGGCGAAACGCTACCAAATGGGGTTGGGCCCTCAACAAGCCACTTACTAAAGCAGGCGGGGGGATCAAGATCAATAGCCTGGAAATGAGCTTTTCTGGAATCACTACCATGGTTGAGCGCATTGTGCGATTCGGCATGGACCCTGCTACCAGGAAGTTTAACAAGGTGGAGCGAGCATCCGCCGACATCGAGACCGAAGAGCGAAGGGATCTAGCTCGAGAAACCATGCGTGTGACTTTCGAGCATGTAGCTTCTCGAGTGGTTCTAGGCCTGCAGTCCCAGCATGAAGCTATGACAGTCAAGCCTGCAGTTGTCCTGGCAGGTGGCGTCGCTGCAAATTCTCTTTTTCGACACATGTACGTCTACTCGATGGCTAAGGCTTGGGGTATTTTCATGTGATGAAGAACTGGCCATGCTGACATTCTCAGACTTGCGAGCACCCTTTGTGCTCACGGATTTTCAGACGCCCAGTTATACTTTCCTCCTCCCAAGTACTGTACCGACAACGCTGCCATGATTGGGTGGGCAGGACTAGAAATGTTTGAGGCGGGCCATGTCGATCCATTCAGTATTCGCGCCGTACGTAAATGGCCTCTAGATAAACTCCTGGATCCCCCAGAAGACGGATGATTTCGAACAGACTCAATACACATCGGGACGCGATCGATGCCCTTTCTCCTTGCATCAAGGGGTTCCACCAATGTCTGCTCAGCTATTCGCCCTACGATGGCTAAATCCACTGTGCTGCAAGCATCCTGGCTGCGAACAAGAACATTGTCGCACGCGTGATCCGACTAGCAATCAAGATGGCGAGACAATGGCCAAGGATCCTCAGAGTGCGAAATCTATCAGGGTCCACATTCCGCTATTCCGAAGACAGCAGAATTATCGTGCATCACGCCAAGAACCAACCTGGGGTAATTCGCTACCAATCTGTGATACTACCAATCGAAAACACGTGGTCGTATCCTGGCTTGTCCGACCTCAGAGGTTTCTGGGAAACTCACTGCTGGACTGAGGCTTTGTACGCGAAGTGGCCTGTTTGTTAGGCGAGTAAAGAGTCAAATCAGTTCATATATCATGCAAGATCCCTACGTGGTAGACCCTGTATTTCCGGCTGTTTGTAACCATGCCACAACCACACCAAATAGCCAGCAATATACCCAGACAAGATTCACTTTAATTTTGCCGAAGCTCGCACATTCCGTCAAATCAGCACACCCCGCCGAGTAGTCTAGCCCTATATTTAGGATTTTCCCAGAGACGCTGCACATCGACCCGACGGCTATGAGCATATATTGCGCTGCGAGATCGAAAGCACGACCTAGAGCCCGGGACCTCAACCATGAAGCCTCGCTAATGCAGTGCGTGTAGTATCAGAAGTTTGTAGCCGATAGTTGTTACGGGTTTATGGCGTGTGGTCTCGTATCTTTCATTATGGCACTGTATCACTGCATGTTCCCCCAGATTTACCAGCATTGGCAATAAAATGTCTATAACTTTGCCGCATAGCCCCAGAACATGAACTCGTGGTACAGTTTCAAAGCCACAGCAATTGATTCTGTGAAACTGGTTGTCACCTAAAATGGCTCCTGCGCGAAACAGTGTGCTGGCGCTGCTGGGCCTTGCCATCAGGTCTGTCATCTGCTTGCATTTCCTCGGTGAATACTGATTTTTTTTTAGCATCCGCGCTGCACCTGCAGGCTTGCAGACGCGCCAAGTGGAGATACTTCCACCCAAGCAAAGCGTTTCCTGGGACACTGGCAACCCTGAGCCGACTGAGGAGCCGCATGAGCCTGTGATCCCGTCAAAACCGACTGATGAATTTAGTATTGGAACGCCATCAGGATGGATCAGCTGGGAGACAAGCGGACCTACGTCTACCCCAGCCCCAGAGGAACCCACGTATCCTCCTCCTCCCAAGCCAACGGACCAATTCAGCATTGGAAAGCCATCGTTCTGGATAAGCTGGGAAACCAGTGGACCTGAGCCGACACCCGCTCCCGAGGAGCCTGGGTATCCCCCACCAAAGCCTAGCGATCAATTCAGTATCGGAAACCCATCGTACAGTATCAGCTGGGATGGAGATGGGCCGGGTGCTTCATCAACGCCCACGCCAACACCGACACCGAAACCAACCTCGGAGTATCCCTCCCTGACTCTACCACCACCCGTTTGGTCCAATTCCAGCATCGCTATACCAACATCATCCTTGCTTCCCATCACCTCCACTCCGGTATCTTCTCCCACCAGCAAGCCATCATCATCCAGCAAGGCTTCCTCCACCAAAAACCCAGGATACCCTCCATGGGGCCCATGGCCACCAAAGCCCACAACCATCAAAACAAGCATGACTCCCAAGCCGCCGCCGCCGCCCCCAAAGCCCTCGCCCACCACCTCGTCGCCGCCCAAGTACAGTGTAAGCTGGGGTCTAAACCAACGCAACGCAAAGCCCACATCGACAAGGCGAAAGCCCAAACCGACTCCAAGTAAGAAGACAACGACGACATCAAAAGCCACAGCTACCCCTACCCCAACGCCGACTCCGACTCCAAAACCCACTCCAGCACCCACCACCACCACCACCACCTCCGTCCCTCCCCCAGACATCACCATCGGACCCCCCGACTTCACCATAACCTGGGAAAACGCCGGCGAAACCGCACCTACGTCTCCGCCTGAAACCAGCATTCCCGACGGCCATGACGACGACGACGACGATGATGATGATGATGGTGATTTCCCTCCTCCAGTAATCCCCACACCCCCCAATAGCATCGGCATCCAGCCCCCCACCGCAACCATCATCTGGGGCCGGAAGCGCCAGGACGAGGACCCTGTAGACCCGGATTTGCCTGGTGGTGATGACGATGACGATGAGTTTCCTCCTCCGTCTGTGCCTACGCTGCCGAATAGTGTGGGGATTGAGGTGCCTAGTGCGACGGTGATATGGGGGTAGGAGGGTGATAGGGTGATGGTTGGAGGTGGGTGTTAGCTGGGAGGAGGTGTGTGTGTTTTTCGATGAGGTTATGTAGCTATGTACTTGGTCTAGTCCAATGATGCATCTTTATTTTTCTTGCAAATTGCCTTGAAAGACTGCGACCTGGAAAAAAAAAGAAAGAAAGAAAATGGTGGGCATGCATTGCGAATCGTGTCATCATGTATATATATACATGTTGCTAATCAAACTTTGCTTCCACCACACATTTACATCAAGTCTGGATCTTCTGGATACTGACATGGGCTGATATGGCATGTACAAGATCGAAGTGAGGTCAAGCAATCCAACTCTCAGCTTGTGTATTGAGTCGTACAACGCGAAATCCCCAAGTTTGGAATACGGAATAAGAAGGAAGGATAGCATGGTATTAAAAGGTTGAAGCAAAAGAGAAAAAAAAATAATCGCGTCAAACGTGAATCTAGCCTACAAAAAAAAGACTATGCAGGCGTAGGAGCAGGCTGACTCCTTACCTGGAGCTTCTTAGGCTTCTTCCTAGGCTTCGGTTGCTCAGGCACTGCATCCTTTTCCTTGTCCACATTCTTATCCAATCCGTTGGGCACATGGGGCTTCTCAGACTCTTGTTTATCATCTTTCTCCTGCTGCTCTACTTTTTCCTTTTGCCCGTGTTTCGCAGACATCCTGCTCGTCCTGTCAGACGAGATGGAAGACGCGAGATCCTCTCCTTCCTTGAGGTCCTCGACCATAAAGTTGCTGGCCATGCAGCGCCCGCCGTTCTGCTTGCCGACATCCATGGGACACGCGCTGAAGACGACGACAATGTCGCGCTCAGCGCGGAACCGCACAAAGCAGCGCTTCGTGCCCTGTGGCTCTTCCACGCGGAGTGTAACGCCCTTTGCGCCAGCGCCATCGCTTTGATCTGGGCCTTCGGAATCCAGGGGCGCGTTCATGAAGAGATGGAGAGGGGTGGGCGCAATGTTGACGGTGATGTCTGCGCCTACGGCTTTTGTGCCTTTGAGACCGGATGTCTCGTTGATTTCCTTGAGCGCGAGCACGAGGTTCTCGGCGCAGCTGCCGTGTTCTGCGGGCTTCTCCACGCCTAGAGCTGCGTATTGGTTGGCGTCGCATGCGGCCGTCAGGGTATCGTGGGCTCCGGGCGATGTGTCTTCGATCAAGGTCATGATGGGATTGCGTAGATTGGTGAGAAGCTCGTCGTTGACTTCTGGCACGAGTTTGTGGGATGCGGTGCGTGTGTGAGGGAGGGAGAGGTATTCCATGGGCGGTTGGGATGAGTTGGAGGGGTGCATAGAGGCGTATGCTGAGTAGGCAGCGTATACTGAGGATGCGTAGCCTGAGCCGGTAGCAGCTGCAAAGGTCAGTTTCTATTGACGGTGGTTGGTCTTATCACGTACCAGCCATTGTTCCTGCACCCACAGGTGTCTTTGAGAAGTCGTATAGTTGCTCCGCATAGCTCTTGTTCGGGTCACGATAATGACTCGCCTTGAATGCGCTTAGAACAGACTTTGAGTCTGGAACTTCGACGTTGGGTACGTAGCTCGAGAAACTCTTGCCTGTAGGAAGATACGAAGACCATTTTTTGGTGTTCTCCTCGTTCTGTTTCTTTTCCTGCTCAGGACTCGGCTTCTGCTCCACTTCTTGCTTGGTTGCTGTTCCTTTATTGCGGTACGGTATGGAAGGGAGATATGACGCCCAAGTGCGCTTTACGGGTTGCTGGGACGAGGATGTCGTGGTTTCGGCGGTCTTTTCGGGTTCGGGGGCATCTGGAGTTTGTTTTGGTAGATCTTTGGCATCTTGGGTTGTTTCGTTGGTTTTGTCTTCACTTGGCTGTGTCTCCGCGCCCTTTTCGCTCTGCTTGCTGTCCTCGCTCTCCTTGTCATCTTTGCTCTCTTTCCCATCTTCGTTCTCCTTGTCACCATCCCTCTCCTCTTCGCCATCTTCAGTCTCCTTTTTAATATCCCCGCTCTCCTTAGTATCCTCACTCTCCTTGCCGCCCTCGCTCCCCATCCCATCTTCCTTCTTCCCCTCCTCCTCCACCGCCATCTTCAACCCCTCAGCCTCCCTCCTAACCTCCTCCTCACCCACCTCTTTCTCCACCACCTCCCCCTCTCCCATTCCCTCACCCTCTTCCGGCGGCGGCCCCAGCGTAAAAGCCCACATGCTCACCACCTGTTTCCCATAGGTATTAATAACCTTGATCGTCCTGCCGCGCGGCACAAACGTCGCGACGCCATGGCGCGCAGGGATAGTCTGGAGTTCGCCGGACATGTCTTGGGTCGCGAGATGCGTATCCTTGTTGTTGTTGTTTTTCCTACGCTGCTTCTCCACAGCCGATACCACAGACACAAGCGCGATGCCCGCGAGCGCGCGGCGCGAGGGAAGTTTCGGTGGCGGCGCCGTTTTTGGATTAAATGGTGGAGGTATGTGGTATGCGGCAGAGCAAGTCGAGTGCAGTTGCAGTTGCAGTTGCAGTTGCAATCGATGCAGAAAGCAGAACCCAGAAAAAACAACCAGGGAGAGAAATGATACGCAATGTAGCTGCAAATAGTAAAAAAGATCAAGATAAAAGTTCAAGGGGGAAAAAGAGAAAAGGCGCAAGTGTATGTATTCGTCCTTTGCCGCCGCCTCCAAAAACCCATTTATTAGTCTGGAACGGTGACGTACGTGGTTCACACCTTGTTCACCTCTGATTTGGCCAGCGGTTGCCAGCGTTTTGCCTCTCGAGGCATGGGTGCCCCCCCCCCTTGCAACCACCACTTTTAACTTGTTGTCTGCTGCCCATTGCACATACCGCGTCTTGACAGCATGGCATGGCAGTGCAGGACAGAAATGACGCAGTACAGTCGAACCCTGTTTTGCCCCCATTGCCATGGAAGAAGAAAAAAAGGTAGGTGTACACCTACAACTGAGGGTTTGCGGTTGCGCTTGCCGTGGAGACTGGCAGTCTTCGGTTATACTTATACTTGTATGGAGGGCATTCTAGAGGCGGCTGCTGGGGGTATATGCTGTACTGCTCTCTGATTGGATGTGTGGCTTGAGGATGTGAGTCTCTATGGTTGATTGTATGTATGTACGGATTCAATGAATTTGCGGCGCAGCACACTGCAGCCAGCCAGCCAGACATGTATGTCCAAGACATGGATGAACGCCACAGCAAGGTGAAATCATGCTGTGTTACACCAGGCGCGTATTATCTGCATCAGGCTGTGCTGTTCAACCCCGCCTGGAGTGCTTATATATCCAGCCTCACTACTTATGCTCCCAGAATCTGTAAACAACCACAAGCATCTGTATTTTGAAGTTGATAAATATGAGTCAAGTATTAGCTCTGACTCGGTTCGAGGAGTATGTATATTCCATGCAACGCATATAGTTATATGTACAGCAGTAACTGACATTGTGTTTTTGCTACTGTACCTAGGCTGATTCAATCCAAGCTATTCACATTCCACGTAGGCCGGGATAGCAGAAAAAGAGAATTCGTCGTACATGCAAACGCAGTTGCCGCGACATCTGATTATTTCCGCGCGCTCGTGAGCAATGGGATGACGGAGTCGCAGACGGGAACTGCACAGTATCCCGATGTGGAACCGGAGGACTTTGCCCGCTTTGTCGAGTACGCATACCGCCATGATTATACGGTGCCGTGCTGGGCTCAAGACGAGACATATACAGAAAACGAGTTTGTGCCTTCTCCACCCGCAGACAAAGAATCATGCCCAGCAGCACCCAAGCCAGTGCCTGAGCCAGTAGACACCACTCGGGCTTCCTGGCGACCTTTTTCTCACCATCAACGGCGGTCTTGGTTTAATCTAATGCATACAAAAAATCCCGTACATGTCGAATTCGAGGAGCGGAACTACCTCACATCAACCCAGCCCAAGACAGTCCTGCTCGCTGCATTTGAGCCTCAGTATAACACGGCGCCCCACCAAGACTTCACGCCCGTTTTCCTCGCACATGCACGTCTTTACACCTTTGCCTGTATGCGTTTGGTGGACCCCCTCAAATACCTGGCGCTGCACAAGCTGCACAAAACCCTCCTTGACTTCACCCTCTATGAGCAGCGAGTGTCTGACGTCGTCGAACTTGCGCGATATGCATACCAACAGGGTGAAGATAGAAAAGACGATGTCATCATCGATGAGCTGAGGAAGCTAGTCGTCGACTACATGGTTCGTGAAGTATCGACATTCAGGGAGTCTCCAGTCTTTCGAACCCACTTGCATAAAGGCGGCGAATTTTTCGCGGATTTCTTCAGCGTGTTCCGCAAAGCATGGCGCTCGGAATGATACAGACAGTGGCGCAGTGCAAGTCTGCCGTCAACTTGTTAGATCCGTAGTTGCGCATGCATCTTCTTTTAAAAAAAAACTGTCACTCTCTTCGAGAACCAAAACATCGAGAACGGCTCCAGGTGATCTTGCAAGACCCGGCGTTTGCAACCTCAGACCAACAACCTCTGATCATCGCCTCGACAAGGCGCAAGAAGAAATTTGCCAAACGGGCCCAACTCCTTGACGCTCTTATCATATGACCAATCCCTGGAGAGATCCAGATAAGAAACCAAGTCTTCGTCTTTACTTGGTATGCTCTCAATGCCACACAGCGTATCCTGTCGGGTCCATCTACCCAGGTCCTTGGTCAGCGGCATAGCAGCTAGAATGTGGACCTGATCGGCAAGCCCGCCCTTTGTGAAGACGCTCCATGCGCACCGCGTGAAGACCGACATGAAGACCGTGCGGCGGAGCGACTCGTTGAAGACCCAACGCGCATGTGCATCTGGAAAAGAGAGCGTGTCGTAGAAAGAGCGCTTTAAAAGGTCTGTAGCCCAGGTTTCAAGCAGCGCGTTGTGCTTCACCGCGTCCGCCTGCGCGCCCAGGCTCGGGTCAAAGAGCCGAATGATTTGATATATGATCAGCGCCTGAACCGCCGCTAGATGGTTCATCAACGTCCAGTTCCGCGCTTCTCTGATCATGATGGAAATCTTGGCATTGATGCTATTGACCAGGATGCTGGTGTTCCTGACGTTCTGCGCCATGTACAGAGCGGCTATGGCAACACAGTCCTGGTACGCTGCCGGCTGGGCGTCATGGGGATACAGATTCCGATGGAGAAAATGCGTCGTGCCCGAGTATGCCATGTGGTTCACAAGAGCGCACAGGCCTTCAACGACGATAATGGTCTGCTGGTTGTTGAGGATCACCGGAAGAGCCACAGACGGCATTAGAGTTCTGCATAGTTCCGGTGTAGTCGAGCAGCCGTCGCCATCTTGCAGCCACGCTTCCAGGGTCGATTCGTCTGAAGCAGCCAGAGCCAATGGGTCGAGAGCGATGTTACCTGGCTCGTGAGCGCCCACGTGGTGATGAGCAGTCGTCGCAGGCAGGCTGATATCTGGCGTAGTCCGTCGTATAACCACCTCAGCGTCGCGGACTGAAACTGGGGTTTTGCTGGGATTGGGGTACGAGCAGTCGAGGCCTTTGACGAAACAGCGTTTGCAAAAGGGGTAGCCTAAGTCACAGCGACGCTTGGCCTTGACGCAGGCCGTGCAGCTCTTCTTACGTGTTGAGGAGATGTAGCCCAGCATTTAGGTTTAGAGTGGAGACGTTCGCTCGGGGCGGGCGGCGCGGGCGGAGATTGTGTGTTTCTTTTTTAGCGGAAGAGGAGCTGGGTGGTGCACGGTGGGCAATGGGCAAAAGCAAACCGCCTCCTCAGGCACATGCTGCAGATTGGCCATGGTGGATGGAGATGAGGCATCCAATCTTACTCAGCCATGCGGGCTGGCTGGCTGGCTGGCTGGCTGGCTGTGATGGGTGGGTGTGGTGAGGTGAGGGGAGAGGGGAAGGCAGCAGCTGAGCGAGAGAGAGGAGGAGCGTGGTTCGCCGTTTCGAGGTCACACAGCAAGAGCGCCTGTCGCGGCTTCCACAACATGTGCGTACAGTCGAGCGTCGCGGCTTCCATAACATTCGCATACTTTAGTGTAGTGTCGAGCGTCGCGCCTTCCGTCGCCAAGTGCCAAGGCCAAGCGCAAATAGGCCACAGGCACTTGACATGCTCGCACGTGTCGACACAGGCTCGATGGCGCCGCTCCCACTCGGTTCGCAGGCAGAAAAACGACTGTCCCCAAGAAAATAGCCCGCGACATGCTCACACACATACTCTCACACTGACAACCGCCGGACCACCCAGCCAAGCCAAGCCGCCCCGCCCAGCAAAAAAGAGGATACCCACCTTCTAGATGCAGCCGCCGGCCCCGTAGCTTGCCCGCCCAGGACTAGGCCCAGCGTCAGTAATTAGGCTCCTCGGCCAAGGTTCGCGCATAATTTACCGTCCTGGGTCCAGCCTGAGCCTGAACCTCCATTACGCTTTGCCTCCAATGGCTGTGCGGGCAAAAGAGATGGGAGCGAGCTGTGTGTGTGTGTGTGTGTGAGAGAGAGAGAGTGAGAGAGAGACAGAGGCAAGAGTGAGGCGTACTGCAGAGGGCGCAGAACCCACGGAACGGCGCCCCCCCCCCCAGTCGCTCCCGCTCCCACTCCTTCCGATGTGCAGCTTCCAGCAACCAGCTACCAGCTACCAGCTACCAGCTACCAGCCAGGCGTTCAGCTACAGGCCAGCGAACCAGGGCGCAAGGTGTGGCAAGCAAGCAAGCAGCAAGTGCAACAGCGTCGGGGTGGCTGAATGGGCAAAGCGCCGCGCGAGCTGGCGATGCCTCATGTGCGTCTCGTGCCACCGGGTGTGATTGGATGCTGATGTCATTGCAGCGTGGCCCGTGGGCACTTTCACATGAAAGAAGGGCTGCGGACGACAAGTGCAAGTGTCGCAGCTTTTGCACTGGCACGGCACTCGCCCGCCGCCCTCACACCAGTGCCAGTGCCAGCGCCAGCGCCAGCCCGCAACACGGACAACGGCCCCACGCACGCACATGCAAGTCCATGGCGCGCTTCACCTGCCTGCCCTTGAGGCTTGCGTAACCAGGGAACACGACCGACTGCCGCCACACTGCTCTCCACTTTCCCACGCCTAAAAGGAGTCCGCAAACACTGTCGTCATCTTCCTGCCGCCGCTCTCTTCGCGACGCTCGCACTCGGAAAAATTATCGCTTGCTTTTGCCTGGTCCCGGACACGCTGTGACGCTCCTTGCCCGTTCCGGTCCCTGGAGTCGTAGTGTCGATACTGGTTGCCGGTGCCCGAGAACTCAGCTGGGCTATCCCATCCTATCCCCCCTCCCCTCCTCCCCTCCCCTCTCTAGTCGTCTCACCTGACGTCCTCGACTCCGCTTTCCCAACACGACCTCTTTGCCCCATACTGCCGCACACATCAACCCCAAATCTCCACCCGCATCCTCTCCACCACGGCATCCCATTCTAAATCCGCTTCTTCGACAATGGACGGCATAGAGGCCATGGGTGCACGCCGAGCCATGTCGCTCATGTTCACCGTGCCCGAGCGTTTCATCGGCTTTGCACACATGGACCAGAAGACCTTTTTCGATCTGTCCGACTGGATTCTGGCCAACGTCGCATCGCAAATCACGCCCCAGATCAGTGTCGAGGAGTCCCTGTTTGTCTTCCTGGACATTGTCGCGCAAGGAAACAGCTTCAGCCATGTGGCGTATGGATGGGATCACGACCTCGAGCTGACACACGGGTATGTGCCGACAATGTTTCTGCCGTCTACGCGGCATCGGGCATGCATAGACTGAATGACTGACTCTCCCTCCAGTATCTTCCTCAACGTCCTCAATGCCCTCACTGTGCTGCGCGCCAGCCGGGAGATTGCCGACACATGCCCACCTTTCACACAAGCCCGCAAGCGCTGGGAAGTCACCCGACGATGGAACCAGAAGCGATCAAGACCGAACCCCGGCGGCATAGTCCGCATCGGCTACGATGAAATGTCCCGCGACGGCCTCGAAGTCGACCAGGAGTGCCTCAAGGAAGCCCTCATGGCCCTCAACAACTTCATCCACGAGAATGCCGACCATGACGAATCCTGATGACCTTTTTTTTTCCTTTGTCCCATTTCCATTCTAGCATTCATCCCGGCGTTGGTTTTGATTTTCGGGTGGGTAACGACTTGGCTATCGAGCGCATAACATCGGACGGACGGATCCAGCTCGGTGTTTAAACGGTGTATTCATTTCTCCTTTGTATTTTTCCTTTTGTTGTTTTTGCTTCCCATGTACATTTAACATGTACACACTTAAGCAGGTCGAACACCGATCGCTACTGGCATCTTCTGGACGCCAGTCAATCCGTATTTTCCCAGACTCTGCTGTGATGTCATCGTCTCCATGTCGTCATGTTCCTTTTTTTCTTTGTTCGTCCCCCTCTTCTCCTTCACATGTTCCCACAGACACACACACCTACGCCATCGCCACGGCGTCCACAGTCTCCTTCCCCAACACACTCAACCTCCCCCTCTTAATCCCCAGACTCTTCTCAATCCTCTCCTCCGGCTCCCCCTTGCTCCGCCTCATCAACGCCAAGGTAATCGTCCCCGCATCCACATACTTCCTCCCTTCAAACCCTTTGCGCCCTATATCCCTCATCTCATCCTCGGCTTCATCCGCAATCATCTGTCGGGCTTCGAGCACTCGGAGTACGGGATTATTCCGCGAATCGGGAAAAGCCGACGGCGGCGGCGGTTGCATCATCGCACCGTCTGCAAAGGGAAGGTTGCGCGACGAGGCATTGCCATTGTTGCTGCCGCTGCGACGAGGATCGAATGGCGACGTCGACGAAGGCGAGAAATGCGGGTTTGGCTGCACGGCACCTAGGCTGCTGAGACGCGAGGCGAAGGCGGGGTCACGTCCATCTTGGAGGACGGCTGTGTCGAGTGAAGGAAGGCGAGTTAGTTTGGCTTCGTGTTGCTTGAGAAGAGGGGTATGTGTGTGTGTGAGACGGTGAGGCGAGGGGAAGGGGGGATGTTGGAATATCTCAGACACAAATGTTTTGTCTTTCCAACGAATTGCGGACGAAGGGGAGGGGGAGGGGGGTAGGGGACACTAGTCCTAACGTACCTTCAGTTTTCTCAGCTGAAGCTTGTACCTGAGGATGCACCGTCGGACCTCCAACTGGATCCTGAGCTGGCGCTGCAGGCGGCGGGGTCCTCGTCGCAGAAGTAGTAGTAGTAGTAGTAGTAGTAGTAGTTGTAGTACTTGTCGGGGCCCTCGTGGGGTATTTACGTGCAGCGGAGCCGGCGGCTTTGGCACCCTTGGAAGCGGAGGCGCCCATCGTTTTCCCGCGTTTTTCTGCTTAGATGCAGCCCGCCTATTGAGTAGTTTTTTTGTTGGGAAGGAGGCGGGGGTTGGAGGGGCGGAGATTATGCGGCGGGGATGATTATGTTTTGTTGGGAGCGAGATGGTAGATAGGGTTCGTTGATAACGGGCGAGCGGGCGCGCGCGATAACAATGTTTGTTGGGAGAGAGGGAGGGAAGAGAGCTTTCGGGGGGGGAGCTCGGGCCAGGCGATGATGTAGTTCGACGCCAATGCAGAGAGAGAGAGACGTTATCGAGTGGTACAATGAAAAAAAGGGGGGATGATTTTTATACTACTTTGTGATAGTTTGATGCAGGCAGGGTGGAGATGGGAGGCGGGAGATGCCAATCATTTTTGCTGTTGTGCTCGTATGGTGCAACCAAGTCTATAGTAGTTTCTCGTCTGCACGGTAATGCCCTGCAACTAGGAAAGCCAGTTCCAACGCCTGCTTCTCATTCAACCTCGGATCGCAGTAGGTGGTGTAGTTTAGACTCAGATCCTCGTCCACGAGCCCCTCACTTCCTCCCGTACATTCTGTGACGGCGTCACCCGTGAGCTCAAGATGCATGCCGCCAAGGAAGGAGCCGTGCTGCTTGTGGATCTTGAGTGCTGACGACAGCTCGGAGAAGATGCTGTTGAATGAACGCGTCTTGATGCCAGTGGGGGTGCTGCGAGTGTTGCTGCACAAGATATTAGCTGGTGCAGGGAATGCATAATGAACGAAACTTACCCGTGCATTGGGTCACACTGCCAAACCACAACATGTCCACTGCTCTTTACCGCCTCGATGTGCGCCCCCAGCATGGACTCGACCTTGTCAGCACCGTAGCGGGTAATCAGAGTAATCTTGCCAATTTCCTTGTTGGGGTTGACAATGTTGAGCAGCTCAACCAGCTCGTCGTTCTTCATCGAAGGCCCGACTTTGATGCCAATGGGGTTCTCGATACCACGGAAGTATTCGACGTGACCGCCATCAATCTGACGTGTTCGGTCTCCGATCCAGATAAAGTGTGCAGAAGTATTGTACCAGCCCTTGCCGTCGTCTGAGGGCTGAGAAGACCTGTAACCAGCAGGATGCTTAAGCCGCCTTGTCAAGCTCTGCTCGTACTCTAGCACAAGACCTTCGTGGCTGGTGAAGAGATCTACCGTCTGTAGTTGTCCAGACGTATCCGCACCAATCGTCTTCATGAAGCGGAGTGAGTCAGATATGCTGTGTACAATCTGCGAGTACTTTGACTGCAGCTGCTCGTCCCGAACATGGCCGAGTTCCCAGTCCAGTGGGTTGTGCAGGTCAGCAATGCCACTTGCCAGCTGTGCACGGATGTAGTTCAGTGTCGTCGCCGAGTGGAAATAGGCGCTGACCAGTCTCTCTGGGTCCACTCTCCTAGCCTCTGGGTCGTAGCCGTTGAGGATGTCGCCCCGGAAGCTCGGAATCTCCTTGCCATTGAGCATCTCAGTCGGACTTGATCTTGGCTTTGCATACTGGCCTGCAATACGGCCGATGCGAATGACAGGCTTATTTGAGCCCCAAATCAAGACCAAACTCATTTGCAAAAGGAGCTTGATTTTGGCGTCAATGGGATTGTCGGCACAGTACGAGAACAGCTCTGCGCAGTCACCTCCCTGGAGGAGAAACGACTTGCCAAGTGCAGCATCACGCAGACTGGCCTTGAGCTTGACAATCTCTGATGGCGTGACAATCGGCGGTAGACTTGACAGCTTCGCCAGAGCAGAAGATACCGCTGCTTGGTCCTCATACGTGACGATCTGTTTAATGGGTTTTGCCCTCCACGCTGCAACCCATTAGCATGTTCCTTGAAGAAGTAGACCTTGCTCTTACAATCCGGCGACCACCCCTCCGACTCGCCGCTCATGGTTGATCCTTGCATTGCAGTATCCATCTCTTGCGTCTGCCGGCGTTTCCTCCAGAATGTGACGATTCTGACTGCAGCACTTCACCAGAGGCGGTCGTGAATTCGTCTGCGTCACAAGTCAATTTGTGCAAGTTCCCCCGGCATCAACACCATTACCTACAGTCTCGTCGCCAGAAACCCGTCCTGCAGCTACAAGAAAAAGGAGTCAGCTCACACCACGTATGCCGTTTTAAGCCAAATTTTTTTGTTGTTCCGTTAATATAACAAGCTCGACAAGGGTCGCCCTCCCCAAAGGTCCTCAAAGTGACGCCACGCGCACATGACTCAAGCAACAAAAATCTGCGCAGCGGAAAAAGCGGGTTCGAAAGGTACCTCTAGACTTCGGCACTCACCTGGCACACAAATAAAAAAGAGGCTGTTGGGAGATCAGCGTGGGCGCGCTTTTCGGTCGTCTTGCCAAGGTTCAGCAATACGCGGGGGGAACCTGCAAATCCAGTTTCCGTTTGTGGCCCGGACGGTGAGCAGCCACAAGGACGCGGGGCTAGGCTTGAACAAAGGTGGCTGCAGGAAAGCCACACTGTGCCTAATAGCGGGCGCTGAATATTCCCATTGGCTGGCACCCGTACAATGACATATGCGTCAACTTACCCCACATATCTCATCAGCCATGTCCAACTGACGGGCGTGAGCTGTCCACCGCCAAAGAAACCTCCGCGACTTGGACCCGTCACCATCCACGTACATACAAGTAGCTCTGCTGCATACTCGCGACAATGGCAGAACCGCAACCCAACGACGTCCATGAGGGCGCCGCAGAACCCCACGCACCCACCAGCACAGCCGAAGACCGCAAAGCTGCTGCCGCCCTGTCTGCGCTCGACGCCCAAGACGGCGGCGACAACGGCGCGAAAAAGGAAGTCGATGGCAAGGCCCTGGACAAAGCAATGAAGGGACTTAGCGTCAAGGACAAGGCTGCTACAGACGCGGACAATAAGAAGAAGAACGTGAAGATTGATGCCGCCGACGTTACGCTGTTGGTACGTTTTGATATCCGTCCGTTTGGTAGAAGGCAGGCAGCGAGTATAGAAAGTTAGCTGACTTGGTGGATTGGATAGGTTTCTGAGCTCGAGGTCTCGAAGCCAAAGGCGACTGAGTTGCTCCGTGCGCACGATGGCAATGTCGTCAAGGCTATGCGTGCTTTTGTTACGGCAGCGCCTTGAATGTACGGCGATGAGTACAACGGATATCTTCACATGGGGGCCTGTCATACGAAGAAGCGCATGGTAGTGGTGGTTGCGGCAGACGCGCCTATCGACGACGACACCAGCATGATTGAGGTTACAGGCGACTTCTCAAAAGGAAGTCCTTTTTCAAAAGATAATGTGCAAATTGGCATGGGAGGAAATACTCAGGGGCTATTGCCTCCAGCCCGCGACTACAACTCTAGGTATTACATCTGCACCGACTCCCCCGCATCCTGTTCACCCATACTGACGTTTGCATCAAGCTGGGTATCATTTACATATACCAAAATCGCAAGCCCTCCACCTTGTACCATGCTTTTCTCCCTTTCTTCCACTTGTACCCCCTCCAGATGAACACGTTCCCCCCAGTGAGGGCATAGAGGTTTTACTCATCATCACTATTAAGTACAACGGGTCTCTTCCTCTTTCTGCCAGCAGGGGGACGTACTCCACCCACCTTTCCCTTTCTTGTCTTCTTCTCAGCCGCCACTATTGGTGCAGGACCAAACGCTCTTGTGTGCGGTCTGCCTGGCGCACGGCGCCGCGTACTGTTGCCAGAACCTCGAACAAGCTTGCGATTTCGTGTTGACCGATGCACGTATTCGTCTGAATCCGTGTCCTCGACATACTGGCTTGCCGCAGTCTCTTGCGATGCATCAACCATGAAGTCTTCAGCCTCACTCTCACTCCCTTGAAACTCAGACTCGGAGTCAGGCGACTTGTTCCTAGCAGCACCATTGCCTCGCAGTCTTGCTGTGTTTTTCTGAACGAGTGCGCTGGAAGACGACTTGCGTGCTTTGAACCCTGACGAATTTGTTGCAGCCTCGGGCCCAGACTCTCCGACAATGGCCGTCCGCTTTGCAGCTTTCGCAGCTCTGGCCTTGGCGGTAGCTGCCAAGACTCGTGAGCGGCTTCCGACACTCAGGTTGAGTTTTGCATTTGCTTTCTTGGCTTTTTGCTTGGGCTCTTTGACTGCAACGACTTTGCCGTTCGGCTGCTTGAACTGCGCCGTCTTCTCCTTGGGGTAGTTGTAGTTGAAGAACAATTCCGTACCGGCCTTGATATTAGTCGTGGCAAACAGCGCTATGCGGCAGACGGTATTGCAGAGCAGATTCCTTGGGATGCAGTTGATATGTTTGTCGTCGGCATTGTTGATGAAGCGCAACTTGTTGCCCATGTACGTAGCGTCGACTTCTTGTTCTATGCACTATCAGCAGTGTATCGAGCGAGCGAGCGCACTCAAGACCTACTCAAGTTTAGACGAAATAGATACATCGTCTTCTGGTAGTCATAGATTGTAAGTCTGCGATTGCCTTCCTCGACTGAAATGCATTCGCCAGTGTACTCGCCAATGTACTCGCCTTTCTCAATATCCTCGCCCATGTACAGCCCGAAGCCGTGTACCTCGGAGTGGCCAAGCAACGTCTTGCGAGGAACACATCTCTGGATGGCAACGTTGAAACAGTTGCGAGCGACCACGTCTTCATTGTATCGGTTGACGGGATCGAGAATCTCAGTTGCACCACAAGATCCACACAAATCCGCATCACACTCTCTGTTGAATTTGAGGCACAGGCACTTGTCCGAATCGCAAATTCGCTTTCCTGGAGTCATGGTGCAGGTGCAGCCGGGGAAGCGTCGATTGCATGACGGAGGGCACTTGCAAGTCTTCTCGCAGGTGATGCCCTCTCTGTAGCATCGACATTTAGCAGCATCACAGCTACCTTCGTGATTGCAGGGGAAGAACGGTTTTCTCTTCTCCCAATGCTGTGTCATGTCTCGCTGTAGCCACCAGTTGGAATTGAACTTTCCTGGTGGAGGCTTTGCGCCCTTGCAAGCAATCATTTCCGACTCAGAACAGACATTGAAGGCCTCTGGATTAGCAGGCAATTTGTAGTTGATCACTTTCTCAATATCTGTGTCGTCGTCATTATAATGCGCGGGTAGAGGGATTGAGTCTGAGTCTGAGTCCAAGTCTGAGTCCGAGCTTGAGCCTGAGCCTGAGTCCGAGCTACGACGGTAGCTTTGGAGGGCTTCGTCTTTTGCCTCGGATTCGGACATCCACGAGTCTTCAGGCATCTGTCTAAGCTCGCCATGAAGGAGGCAATCGTGTCTGTAACTACCGTTAGTCCACCAACACGCAGCATCAGAGTCTATACTTACTGATGGCACACTCTGCACACGATCTGTCTGTACGTAGACCGGGCTGGGTTTGTGCCACTCGAAGTCTTTCTCAGTACATAGTTTTGCACAAAACTGGACTGTTGAGCCAAGTACCAGATATTGAATTCGCATTCGTGTAGCACAGCGGCGCAGGCGGTAGCTGTAAGCCTCAATCTTGCTGCACAGGGTTGCTCGAGCTGCGAGAGAAACTTGCGCCATTTCTCGGCACTGCGTTTAAACAGAACAGCTTTCTTCATCCCCTCATCCCGCTCAAATTCTTCAACGTCATAACCCGACCTCTGAAGCACCATGGCCGAGAATTTCTCGCTTCCGGGCATGCCAGCATTGATTCGCTTGATGATTTTGTCGGGTGCCAGTAGCCAGTACAAAACCTCATTCCAGGATATGCCAATCTCAGCCAGGAAAGCTTCGATTGGATCTTGATAGAACCGACTCTGCTCCTTGCGTAAGTCGAGCGGTCCTCTCTCATCGTGGGTTAACTCGTATAGGTATGGGAGAGTATTCAAAAGCGCCTTTCGGCTCTTCCAATCCTCGTCCTGAAAGTATGGTGTCGCAAGCAACTTTGACTCGTTGTCGGCTAGAAAGTTTTCTCGTAAGCCGACATACTCCTTGAAAGGGGGTATAAAAACAGCTTCAGACTGGTACTTTGTTGTAGGTGCAGATAATACAGATCGGTTTACTGTATCCTTTGGTTTGGCTTTGATAAACACCTCTTGAACCATATCAGGCAGATCCTTGGCAGTGGAGTTCCGATCAAAGGGTGATTGGATTACGCGCATGTCTGCAAAAGGAGAGGTATATTGAATGTATTTCTCTGGCAAAGTCGACTGAACGGGGCGCTTCTGTTTGCGTTGCTGAGCACGGAGCTCTTGTTCTTGCCATGTCCTCTGACGCCGCATCTTGGACCAGTTTAGGTAGGCATGCGCTTCATGTCGCTCAGCGATATGTCGTTTTAGGCACGCATCTATCGCTGACCGCGTAGCAGTGAGGTCATGTACATTGACTTCTAACACTGATCTGGTTTGGCTAGCCTCAGCCTCAGCCTCAGGTGTAGGGTCGTCGCCAAGTGTCATGACTTCTTGACACGGCTCATCTGATATCACGTTCAACACGTTGTTCATTGTTGCACCCAATGTCGGAGCCGGCGCTTCTAAACTTTGATCCCCTTCCACTGATGGCTCAATTAAGAAGCGAGATGGGGTTTCTGCAGGACTGTACGAATCATGTTCGCGACTTTTTGGTTCCTGAGCTTCCAAGAGCAGTTGCTGTGTGGCATCGGAGTCCTTTGGTCTTTCTGTCAGACTAACTTGAACGTTGGAAGCAGGGCTACTCGAAGCTAGCATTGCTCTTGTTGGACTTGGACTTGGAACTGGACTTCGTGTTGGGGTTGTTGTATTGCTTGGCCCTGTGTCGATTGCATCTGGTAATGCTGGCTCCTGAGCGAAGGTCGAAGGTCGAGGCGGCGCTGTGATCTGGGCATGATGCTTTTGCCTTGCCGGCTGGATTTCCCTGTCATTTGACGGAACTATTGGCACGCCGGGGAGATGGCGTGCATGAACCTCTGCAGCCATAGGCAACACTGGCTGCATTCTGTTCGCATACGCGTTGGGGTTGGCGCGCTGAAATGTGTTTACGCGACTAGAAGTGGTCTGTTCGCGCTGATGATCGGCAAAATTTCTGATTGGTTGCAAGGTTGCTGGCACCGTACTACCTGGCACAAATCCAGCCAGCGGCGGCACAGTATCACCTGGCACAAGTCTAGCAGGCGGATACAATGAGGGTCCAGGAAAATTCGCCTGAGGTAGGAAATGCCTGCGATGTGGCCCGCCATCGATCAAATTAGCTGGTTCAGATCGGCCTTGAGGCGCGTGCCGAGGGATGCCGCTGGGTTGCGTAGCCCCTTGAACCCCTTGGTACCCACAACAAGCGTCTTCCCTCGACCCGGACAGCAGCAACAACAGCAGAATTTCCTTGGGTAGAGCCGAGGCTGCTAATGGAACAGTTTTAGTATTGTGTGACTGCAACAGGCTGGTTGGACCACTCGCAGAAGATTTTGTGCAATCTCGTCATTTGTTGGGCGCGGTGTTCCTTCAATACTCTTAATGCTGCTCGTGAGTGTTGGTTGTGGGATATAGTTACACTAGACTTCGCATTCGTCTAGGAATAGCAATGTGTCCCTATTCGTAGGGTTGGCAGAAGACTGATCGGAAATCGGATGGACTCGAGGCAGATTGGGCTGTTTTGTAACTTTCAAATGATCTTTTCAAAGTCCATACTAGACGTGGGCAGCTGCAAGGAGCCCCTCGCTAATGAATTATATATAATTTCTCTCTGTTGCCTCTTACTGTCTGAACTGGCCGTGCTTGCAATGCCATGACTGCCGCGCATTAGTGTGTACAGGGCCGGCACCACTACGCGTCCGAAGTCTGGTACGCCACGTGACGACGTGGCTTCCTTGTAGCTAAGCGCGACCGCGAGTGCCCAATCTCACCTGACAAGCTTCACCATCCCATGGCTACCATGTTTGCCGCATAAAGTTGGACATGCTGACAGCTCTTTAAGTGTGGTCATGTTTCCTGCCACCCTCTGATCTCGCCGCTCAGCTATCACGCATCACCATGGCCCGCGGAGACTCGTTCGACACACCCATCACCCTTGATGACGATGAAAAGCCGAAAATTTCATCCCCGGATACACCCATCTCATTCGACAGAGGCCACAGTTACCAGACGGTTGGCCGATACGGCTTGAATGAGGTGGAATATAGGACTGATTGGCAGCAAACGGTGCCACAGAGTGCAATAGCCACACCAAGAAACATTTACCCACAGCTCTTGAACGCTGCTGCTCCTCCCCAGAGTGCTCCCCAGAGTGCTCCCCAGAGTGCTCCCCAGAGTGCTCCCCAGAGTGCTCCCCAGAGTGCTCCCCAGAGTGCTCCCCGGAGTGCTCCTCAGGCTGCTCCCCAGGCTGCCACATACGTTGCCACATATGTGTCGCCGTACGGCTCATCGTATTCACACCGACAGTCGGTATCGGCAACTTCCACAATTTTCGTTCAAGCTGATCCCCCCCAGTGTCCCTTGACCACCTGCGTTCTGCCAGCCCTGACCTGTCTGTTGATTGACAAAGGCACTTTGCCGGAAAGGATTGGTGCTGCCTGTTACGTTGACACTGAGCCCGCCTGGTGGTAAGAGGCCGCCTTGAGGCGAGGGTTGCCTTGCGAATGGGTTTGTGCCAGTTGGCGTAGGCTGCAGAGGTTGCAGTGGCTGCTGCTGTTGCGCAAACGGCGATTCTTGGACGGCGGGCATGGAAAAGGGCGGAGAGTTAACAGGCGATTGCGACTGCTGTGGAAATCCCGTGTTGTGTTTTGCAAAGGGGTTCGTCGACGCGCGATTGAGCGAGCTTGCGCCCGTCGGGCTGCCAGGTAGCATCGATTGGCGGAACGGATTTGTTGAGGTTTGTTGAGGTTGCAAGGACTCGGCAATGGTAGGGACCTGCATCTGCGGCTGCAACTGTGGTTGTTGTGAGAAATCGGGCATGCCATTCTGCGGTATTGACGGCATGGTGTTTGGCGGGCTGAAGGTTTGTGGTGAGTAGCCGCCAAAGCCCGCGCCAGTAAATTGAGACTGAAGCTGGGGCGCCTGTGGTTGTTGCTGCATCTGGAAGGGATTCGTGCCTTGACCGTTTTGCATTGGGAAAGGCTGTGCCTGCTGAGGGAAGCCCATGGTGGCCGTCTGCTGTGGAACCTGGAAACCTGTCTGTTGTGGCTGAAAGCCTGTTTGCTGGGGATACTGTTGCATCATGGGTTGCGTCGCCATGGTCTGCTGGTTGTCCTCGAGTGATTCAAATAAATCGATCAACGGTGCGTTTGCAGAAGGCTTGGAGGGGGCGGCAGGTTGACTGGTATTGTTGCTAGCTCCCGACTTTGAGTCCTGCGTCTTGGTGGCGCCGTTGGTGGACTTGCCCCCGTTCTTCTTTGCTTCCTTTTCGGCAATGTACTGTCGCCGGTTGATTTCAAAATCCTTGTCAGCCAGGTACTCTTCTAGTGACGCCGCCAAACTGGTCGGGGCATGTTTGATCCTTGGGATTTCCAACCGTGTCGAATGCTCGTGTGCGCGTGCAAGACTGAGGTACTGGACAACGGCTTCGGTTTGCTTGACGAAGGTGCGGTACACTGCGAGTGCGCGTGTGGCGTCGGGCTTTGACAGTTCGAAGTAATGCTCTGACCCATTAGTACGCAGACGTGCAGGTGCCAAAGGCTAACCCACCGAGAATGTTGATGGTGCCCTCGTTCATGACATGGAAGAGCACCAACAGGTCCATGGTAAGCAGCCGGAAGGCCGTCAGTGTGATTTCGTTCTCGGGCTCGTCGTCGAATGGCTGTACCGGTCAACGTCAGTCGGACTGGTCGAGGCAGGTGGTTGCGGCTCGCGCGTACCTGGCACTTGAGCAGCGCTCTGATCTGGTCCTGCACGCTCTCTGCCTCGCGCAGGAGGCCCTTTTCTATCGTCAGGCGCTTCAGCCGGCCCTCGCCCCCGCGCACGTAGTCGACCTTGGTCGAGCCATACTCGATGGCACGTCGGAGCAGATATTCCGAGTAGGTGCGGATGTTGTGTCCTTGGGTCTGTACTGTTGGGCGCAGTGTCAGCAGTCGGTTCGAGTCCACCGGCGCAGGCCAAGGTGCACCCGCGTTGCACCCCGAGCACCCGGCCCGGTGCCCAGCCCCAGTCGCGTGCATAGGGGAAGGGGGCCGCGCTGGTGTCGACGGGCCGCGCTGGCATGGCGAGACGTACCCTCTGTGAAGTGATTGATGGCCAGCTTGCGGTGCGGGTTCTGGGCCAGGAACTTGAGCGTCACCTCGGGCTCGCCCTCGCGGATCATCAGATGTACGATGATGAGGCTCTTGAAGACAATGGTCCATGTCGAGTCGCGCAGGCGGTTCGTGAGGGCGCGGAAGATTTCAGCGACGCCCGCCTCCCCGGCATGCGTCGCCACGAGAATGTGCTCGACATATTTGGACTTGGGCGCTGCGAGCTACACGGCCGAATTAGTCGCGGGCAATGGCGCAGGGCACGCGGGCGCGGGCGTGGGCAGCAGCATGCTGAAGCAGCAGGCGCACACTTGCCTTGATCTTGGTGCCGCCCTTGACGCTCTTCTCGAAGGAGCTGGCCATGGGTTGCTAGGGATGCTGTCACGCCGACAGATGGATGCCCGACTGGGCCGCGGGCAGAGGGAGGGCGGAGGCCTTGGTCGAGGCGAGGCGAGCGGTCGGCTGGTCGTCGTCGGCGGCGGCGGCGGCGTCGGTGGCTGTGTGGGCTGCTTGCAGGCGCGGTGTTGCAATGCTTCCGCTGCTCTAGGGCAGCATCACGGCGCGGGCGGCGGGATAGGAGGAATGCGTGTTATCAATAGAGGTGAGCTTAGCCTGTGGAGCGCAACGCGGCGGCGGTAGATGTCCGTTATTAGTCGTGACCAGGGTGGAGGAGCGAGCCAGGGCGCATGGCGGAGCTTGCTTGGGGCTTGCGGGCGATGACGCTGTCCCCCTCGCTTCCCCTCCAGGCTCTCTCGCGCTTTTGCATTTGTGCCTCACCATCACCACTGCTGCCTGTCACACGTTACTGCGCCCACGCCACTCGACCCCGCCAAGCACCGCCATGTCTGGCTCACCACCCCCCGAGGAGCGCGCAAAGGCCGACGCCGATGCCCGCGCAAAGGAGCAGGCCGAGCAGGCCGCGCTGCCCTACAGGTGGGAGCAGACGATCAAGGACGTCGACATCACCATTGCCATCGACGCCAAGTACAAGGGAAAGGACCTCGACATCGCCATTGCGCGCAACGCCATCAAGGCCGGCATCCGGGGCCAGGAGCCGATTCTGCACGTGCGTCGCAACATGTCCAAAGCCGCAGCCTGAGCTAATGCATGCGCCAGGGCGACCTGCCTCACCCCATTCGCGTCGACGACTCCACCTGGACGCTGGCCTCGACGGCTTCGGGCAAGGAAATCTCCATCCACCTGGACAAGGTCAACCAGCTCGAGTGGTGGCCCCACGTCGTCACCACGGCCCCCAAGATCGACACCTCCAAGATCCAGCCCGAGAACAGCAAGCTCGGCGACCTCGACGGAGAGACGCGCGGAATGGTGGAGAAGATGATGTATGACCAGCGCCAGAAAGAGCAGGGCAAGCCAACCAGCGACGAGCAGAAGAAGGCCGACATCCTGAAAAAGTTCCAGGAGCAGCATCCTGAGATGGACTTTTCCAATGCCAAAATCGGCTGATGCGCGTTGCTGCAGCTACGAGGACATTACGACGATTACGCCCATGTGCATGTACACTATTACGAGTAAGAGTTGTGGAGGAGCTACAGGGTCACACCAGGGCTGCACAGATCGCTTCGCGGTGCCAGACCAGGAAGTGCTGACAGAAACGGACCAAAACACACCAAAAGAAATTGGGTGACTGTAAATACGATTTCTGCAAGCATATAATCCTAGTCCGGCAGTCTGAGATGAATGCTAATTACTCGTGGCTCCAAGTATGCGCACCCAGCTTGGTCTTGCTCGTCAACACATGCACGTCGATGCAACTCGTAGCCGGTGGGCTGTATACAGCAAGAATGAATTCTAACGTGGTATTCCTCTGGTACAATGAAATCATCGCGCCTGCTCACATATGCAAAGCCGGATATAACATAATTCTCAAGACCGTGCGCCAAACATCAAGGGTATCTATCCGCCATGCTCAGTAACCAAATCAGCAGCCACAAAGCGCAAAGAAAAGAAAGCACGCTAACCGAGCGAAAGAAAAAAGTCGAAGCACATGTACAGTGAAGAATCAAGGGCTGGAGAAAAAAACGACATGGCAGAAATGAAGGACGACAAAGAACATCCCACTGTTGCACCGCCACGGTGCCACGTAAATGTACAGACCGTTACCTGGGTATCCCAGTGTGGTGTACCCAGGTACCTCGTTCGAGGATTTCATCCAGGGCAATGTCGATGGTGGACTCTCGTGTTGCCTGCGAGCTTGATATTGTCTTGTGAAACAGGTCTTGTTGCAGCTGAGGTTGCAAAGGCTTGCCTCTGGTTTTGGAGAGCGTCTCGCGCCAAGCACGTCTGCATTCTGCTCGAGTGGTGAAGATGTAGATGGCAGCGTTCCAGGCGCCTTGCAGCGGCAAGACTATGGCCGATATGATGTTGAGTGCGAAGCTGGGGTGGCGTGCGTTCACGAACTGGTACATGCGGTTGATACTGCTGGGCACCCACACGATTGTCAGGGCTATGAACATGAGAAAGGCGACCTGGAAGTAGGCCATTGCCGCCGCATGAGTCCTGCCCCGCTTTTTTCCAACAAAGCGCGGTGTTGATAGGTTCGGCACTTCTGAATCGTCTGCTGGAAGCGTGCTCGTAATCATCGTTACTTCACCGCCGTGGCATTCGCTTTTACTCGAGTGTAGGCTATTTTGGGCTTCGAGATCGTCAAGGGGCTGCTCGGTGATCTGGTCATCGGGCTGTGTGCCCATGGAAAACATCTGAACGCTTGAAAAGGAGTCGATCGACCTTCGCTCTGGGCCCGGCGAACCACACGGGGATGCTATTAGCTGGATATCGCATTGTATCTGCGTCGTAACGACAATCTTGTTCGCTGCCGAACCGTTTACCATATCGCCACCCTTGGCACCAATGGTGGACTCGATCGTCCCAAAATGGTAAGAGTCTTGCGACAAGGAGTGGAGTTCAACTGTCCTTTGCCAGATCCGGTACCCCGTAATGGTGTAGATGGTACATGTACCAAATATCATGACCCTTTGGACTCATGTCAGCAGAGATCCCCGGGAAAATTGAAAAGACCCAACTCACCAGGCGGGAGCATAGAAGAATGCAATGCGCATCCAATCATGCTCAACTGCCACCCAGCACCACAAGGTTGCAGATCCTATGATGGGACGTCCAACGTGATCGAGGGACACATAAATGACGACTGGTACTGCAGGAACTCCGTAGCTGAAGACAAAGTACCACTTCTCCAGACCCCGCAGCTGTCGAGCATCGTATCCATAGAAGAATACCAGGAGGACATTGACAGCCATGCAAAGGACCTGTGCGCATGAGTAGACGTTCCCCGGGCTGTAACAGGGCGACATACCCAGAAAGAATCTGCCACCATGAACCATTGGATCAGCAAACCCTGAAGTTCGCAGAGGCCAGACGGAGACTCCCCATCCTTTGGTATCACGGAAACCGACATCAATGTCGCCACATTTGTGAGTATGTTTCCCAGGGTGGCGTAGAAAACCAGTCTGTTGATTGCTGTATAGGGGTTAACTTGGGTCCAGACAAGCACGATGCGAGCCAACTCACGTTTCCTGAAAAAGGGAAAGTAGATGAATGTGCTGACGATTATGCTGGAGCCTATGACGGAAAACACTGATGCCGTGCGGGTGGCGACCATAAGAGCAAACTCCTTGTCGGGTGAAAGTGGGTCAGACATGGTTGAAGGAGCAGGGTAGAAGAGTCTTGGAGCCTTGGTTGAAAGTGGTGGTAGTGCGTCGAACCGATGGCTATCATGACCCAGGTGCGCATAGGAAGTTTTGGTAATGTTCCATGCACCGCAAAGACATCGATCGACTGCTGTTGGAGGTACCACTGTGTCGGGCGTGACGATACACCAGGTGGCTTCAGCGGTGAGAAGGACTAAAAAGCAACGTCTAGCAAAAAGAAGCAAGCAGGCGCAAACTGTCTGGGTAAATCATGGACAGACAAACGAACATATGAATGTATGGTTTAGGGAGAGCAAGCTGCGCAGCTGCGCAAGGTTCGTATGTGCTTCCCCAAAGGGATGACCATGGACGTGGAGGCGCGTAGAGTGTATAGCGTAGGGTCCAGAAGCGCCCGCTTACGGCCTTGAAAGAAAAAAAAAACCGCCCTGGGCACTGGGGGCCGGCCTTCGGCCTGTAGCAAATCGCCATGGCCCTACTACAGGTAGGCGTACAAACAAGCCTAGCGACAAGACAGGATCCCCCGTGGGCACGACGTGGCACAAGCATTTGGCAAAGGGAGCTAGAGCATGTCAAAGCAAGAGAATGACCCGTCAGCCCGGTTCGTATTGCTGGTGCGCTGACGAATAGCAAAGGAGATAGATTGGTGTGGCTTGATCCAGTGGGAGTGTGCTTCTCCGCGCCCGCATCATGGAGGATAGTCGGGAACAAGCGGGAATAGCATTGAAACGACTATTTTGGCACGATTGTTTTAGCAAGTATGGTCGTTACATGTAGAAGCGCCCATGTATACGGCCATGGCCGCGTAGCGTTGTGTTAGAGGGCATACCAGCATACCCAGCCGACGAGCCCAAGAGCATTCCACCCCCGCAACCGCTGCCCGTGCCGTGGCGTCCGCAATTGTAAAAGCCTGTTTATCGATTACCCGGGGACGGACTCACCCTGTGGGAGAATCGGGGGGCCACATTCTTTACAAATGCACTAAAGCAAGAGACGGGCGCAAGGAAGAGAGGCAGTGCCATTGCTATGGCCAATTTGGGCAAGGGCAATGCCAAGCCGATCTGTCATGCTTCCCCGCAGCTCCACTCGGCGCGCCCATTGGCCTCGAAGCTGCACGTCTCGTCCTCCGTGACTGCACCCGGCACACACACACCTCTACTCCACGCCGCCATCAGAGAACAATGAAACCCTTGCACTTTGCTTCATACCGCTACGTCAGAAGACACGCCTCTTGCTTCTCAGCAGAAAAAGTGGCATCATAGTGCACCAGCGCCCCTCCACATGGCGAACGCCTCGTTGCGCCACAGGCTACTGTCCGTCTCGCTGTTATCTGTCCGGAACGACGGCCGCGCCAACTGAAACAGCGAGCAGCATGAGATCACTCCAACCCAGACATCTAGGACAGCCAGTAAAGAGCCCAGGTGACACCTACTGGGCCTATTTGACCAGCACCTACGGCAAAGGCTGCGATGCGCACCCTTTCCCGCTCGTTCCATAGTGGGATACCCGCCGCCGATTAAATCACCCTCACATGGTTATCCCGTGCGCATCACCGCAACTCGGCAACCGTTGTTTCCGTGCCGAATGTTCTGTTTCTAACGCCCGGAGCCGTTTATGCGCTTTGGAGTCGCGGCCGTAGATATGTGCTGAAAGCGATCTACATCGGATTCCGAATGCGGTAGATGCATGGGCTGAGCTGGGGTTGATTTCAGGACTTTTCCATGGAGCACATCACTGTCTATTTATGGAAATGACCACGTTTTACGGTATCAAAATCATCGCTTTGGTTTAGGCTCGAATGGGTGCCTGGTATAGTGTTGAACACGGGAGCGGCCGTCGTGACCTGTCCGTATACTGGGCTGCACGTTAGCCCGCATGGACCCTTGGACGACGGTGCTTTTCTCAGAGCCGCTATATCTTACGCGGCTCATACTCACGCAAGATGCTCAGACTTTCTTCACGCATTCGAGTCATGGAATCACCGAGATTAACGGAGCCACGCAGTGGCTGTCATGTTTCTGCAGCGACCGACTTCACGATAGCCGATAGGGCGCGAGGGTTACGGGACCCCAAAGATGGAGAATTCATGCATAAAATGCCTCGAATGATTCCGGTACATCCAACTTGTTTCAACCCTCGGACCATGCATCATGACAGCGCTCTACGTCGCAGCTACCGCAACTTCAGTAGCGACACCCTTGTCCATCTTCACCGGTTCAGCGGCCCGCCTTTGCTTCCCCGAGATCAAATACACATTCGCACGCACTTCCAACAGCGGGTCATCACTTGGCTCCACGCCCGACACCCTGGGGATAGGGTCAAAAATGACGTTTCTCTGTTCCTCCAGGCTTTCCTCGCCGCCTTTGGTCTTGTCAATCGTGATGGTGCCCAGCTCGACTATCTTCCTCTCTTCAGGCCAAATCTCCGTCGCGTTATCAGTCACATCTCCGTCCTCTGCGATTTGCGCAAGAAGCTTGAATTCAATAGGTCCTTTCTCGAGACGCTGAGGAAACTCGTCGAACAGATATGTTTCGGATTTCCCACTCAGCTCCTCGGCACTAAGGTGCTTCTCGCCTGCAACAGGTACAATGCGGTACCGTAGCACTGTAGTCTTCCCATCCTTGGTAAACTTGAACGCATTCACCCCAAAGAACTTTTCCGTCGCAAAGCTTTCGGGACTGGGCTTGGGGTCCTGGAGGAACCGCGCCGTCTCGGGGTGACGACCGAGGAACTCGGGTACGGCTTCGCTGGCATTACTGCCCGTTGCGGCTTTTAGGAATTCCAGGAATTCGGCTCCTGTGCGCGTGGGAAAGTACTTGGTTGAGTGCGCGATGATGTCCGTGTGCTGCCGTTTGCCGTTTTGCTCTGGCAAGTGGAACCGGATGGCGATGCCGCGGGGGTTTGCGTTGGGATCTGTGTCGGGGATCTTGGGGAGGCCGGTTGAAGAGGAGAAGCGCACGGTGATTGACGTGGAGGGGGCGTTGAAGTGATGGGCGGAAGTGAGGTCCGAGGCAGATGAGGTGGGTGTAAAGGTGCCAGTCAGGAGATGGCCTTTTGCGTGGGCTATGTTGGGTGATGTTAGCCATTTCCCTCAACAGTGGCTAAGTATCAGGCTAGCATATCCGCCATGTCTGAGAAAGGTTTCTGGGAGGAAAAACAACGTACCAGGTCTAAAGCTCTGCGCAGCATCGCCAGCCATACCCCGAAGCGTGCTCACAAGCCCACCGCTCGTCTCGAGTATCTGCGTATCCGACGAAAGAGGCATATCGATTCAACTCGGCTTCTCAACTAACAATTAAACAACTCTCGATTCTTCTTCTGTTCACACGTCCTACCTGACTTTTCAAAGCTGCAAGAAAAAATAAAAAATGAAACTACAGTATGTACCATTTCCCATTCTCCCCACCACAGCCCCTCTATTATATACCCAAACACATCCCCAGTATTTGTCAACCAAACCCCCCCCCTCCCCCCCCATTTGGGCATTTCCCCCCAAGCAACATCCTAACACATCTTATCGCACGCACTCGCTCGCGCATACACAGTAAAAAAAACGCAGTGTCCCAAGTAAATCCCTGCATGCTAATTGGCTGCATCGACTTTCCCGCTCCTGCTGACGGTATGCTGACCTTGCAGCGCGGCCGCATGTAGGAACGGGTTTACAAATCCGTTGTGATGAGGGGTGAGGAGCTTGTTTTCGAGTACTTTACAAGGGGCGTTGAGGTGATGGCTTGGTTTGGGTTTTAGTCAGTGGGCTTATTCAGCTGCTAAGGCGGGTTTATCGATGTATGTGGCTTGGTTGGGTTGGGCTTGTGAGGAGAGGTACGTACGTATAGTACGTCATACTTGTGGAATTTGTCGAGCAATCATGCTTTTTTTGTGTGTGTCGTGTTTTGAGACTAATAGTGGGTTTTCGCTGCGCTCGTTTGGCTTGTTGCGGTGCGACTGGGTGCGGGCTTGCGGGAGTGCAGTGCTGCGTGTGGATTACTTACTTGCGAGATGTGATTACTGATAGAGGAATTAGCAGTGGAAATACTGCTTAGTGGATTTGATGGGCTCCGTGTGGTTTTCAGCTTTGGTTTGCTCGGGTGGAATAGATTTGCAGTTACATGTTGGGTTTAAATAGAGGTATATGGAGAGGTCGGAAAAGGTATACGCATCTGGTGTTCTGGTAAACAAACTAGCACAACTCCTATTTTCACCCCTTGCAGCTCAATATATATTCATATATTCATATAAAGGGTTTATTGTGACGGCTACTTGGGATTTTTTATAGAAAGCTAGTTGTTGAATTGGCTACTAATATGTTTTCAACCTACCGCTATATAGCCCCTGTTCAGGTATTCTAAAAAGCGAAATCTGACAACGCAGTTCGGCCCAACTCTAACTAATTCTTTATACAGCTAGAACGAGCTGGTGGATCAGCTATTGCAGAACGTAAATGACATTAAGAAACCTCAAGCCGACGGGAGCCGGAAAAGGAAACTCAGAATGGCATGTGTATATTGGAGTGTTCTCTTATACGAGCAAGTAATGTTGTAAAAAGATCAGCTAAACTACTGTTATTAGTACATTCTATACGAACAGCAAATTTAACGATAGGAAATCAGACTTTTTTCTTAGCACACAACAAAAAGTGGTGAGAGTACAGTCAGGACGTGGAGAGCTACCCCACCCCAGCACCCTACTACGACCCCTGTCTCCGATACAGGCCGAGTCGCGCATAGCTCCCCAAAAAAATACAACTCCACACTGACGTTTCCTAGTCTCTTCACACTCACAATGGTAATCGTTGCAGACTACTCGCGGCCAACAACGCCCGACAATGGCCATGGAGGCCCCAATGGCATCGCGTCGCCTCGTTCACAAAGACACAGCCTCGCCCTCACCGAATACACCGCAAATCCCAGCCCGCCGCCCGAGTTGACCAGTCCAAAGGTGAATAGTGTCATACCCGAAGCATTCATCCTGCCAAACGGCTACCCCGACTACCTGCGCCTCATCCTCACGTCGCGTGTCTACGAGGTCGTCAACGAAACCCCACTCACGACTGCGACAAATCTCAGCAACCGCCTCGAGTGCAATGTCATGCTCAAGCGCGAGGACCTGCAGCCCGTCTTCAGTTTCAAGCTGCGCGGCGCATACAACAAGATGGCACATCTGGAGCCCAAAGACCGCTGGAGAGGAGTGGTTGCATGCAGCGCAGGCAACCATGCACAGGGTGTTGCGTACTCGGCGCGCAAGCTGAAGATTCCCGCAACCATTGTCATGCCCTCGGGTACGCCAGATATCAAACATAAAAACGTGTCCAGACTCGGAGGTTCGGTCATACTTCACGGCGCCGACTTTGATGCTGCAAAAGCAGAAGCATCACGGCTGGAGAAGCTACATGGACTCATATCTATCCCGCCTTTCGACGACCCCTATGTCATTGCTGGCCAGGGCACAGTGGGCATGGAGCTGCTGCGCCAGACTAACCTGCAGGATCTCAAGGCCGTCTTCTGCTGCGTGGGTGGAGGCGGTCTGATTGCAGGAACCGGCATCTACATCAAGCGGATAGCGCCACATGTCAAGATCATAGGAGTGGAGCAGTACGACGCTAACGCTATGGTCGAGTCACTCAGAGCCGGAAAGCGTGTTTTTCTGAAAGATGTCGGGCTCTTCGCTGACGGAGCAGCCGTCAAGACAGTAGGAGAAGAAACATTCCGGATATGTCAAGAGGTGGTGGACGAGGTCGTCCAGGTCACAACCGACGAGACATGCGCCGCCATCAAAGACATGTTCGAAGACACGCGATCCATTGTCGAGCCCGCTGGCGCACTTGCTCTGGCTGGCCTCAAAAAATGGGTAGGCCGCAACCCGTCGCCGGACCGCAACCGAGGTCTCGTTGCCATTGCCAGCGGAGCCAACATGAACTTTGACCGCCTCCGTTTTGTCGCCGAGCGCGCCGCGATTGGTGAAAACAAAGAAGCCATTCTCTCCATCACCATAGCCGAGCAACCAGGCGCCTTTTCCAAGCTCGTCTCCGTCATCCACCCCATGGCCGTAACGGAATTCAGCTACCGCTACTCGGGCCCCGAGTCAGCCCAGATCCTCGTTGGCGTAGAACTAAAAACCGCGACGCGCTCACGCGACCTCCCGGACCTCATTGACCGCCTCGCCGCAGAAGGCATGACAGCCCACGACCTCTCGCAAGACGAGCTCGTCAAATCACACATCCGCTACCTCGGCGGCGGCCGCAGCGACGCCGCACACGAACACATGTTCATGTTTGAATTCCCAGAGCGCGGCGGCGCCCTCTACAAGTTCCTCAATACCCTCCAGCCCGGCATGAACATTAGCCTCTTCCACTACCGCAACTACGGCGGCGACGTCGCAAAGATCCTCGCCGGCATCCAGTGCGACGATGCCGATAGCGAGAAACTAACCGCTTTCCTCAAAGATATCGGGTACCCGTATAAAGAAGTGACGAATAATCCCAGTTATAAAATGTTTTTGCGCCGTTGAATACGTCTACTGCTACTTGCCTTACTTGGGACTGCGTCTGCATTTTGTTTGTTTTTTTGTACTTAGACTGCGGGCTTCGGGCGTTGGTAGTTCATCGTGAATTTCAAAGTAATACCCCCCCCGCCCCTGATGTACATTTCTTGATTTATGTGCTTGCATATTGTCTGTGTGTTGATCCACATCTCTCCCTCTCTCTCTCTCGTAATAACGGGGAAAATGAAGAAAAGCAAGGATGTACATAGCTGTGTCAAGACTCAATCGAGTCGCAGTCTATTCCCATCATACATAGCCTTGCATGGCATGTCCAAAGCACGGGTATTATAACATGATACGGTGTAGAAACTCGATTCAATATGCTTTTTCTTCTGCTGCTTTAGAACACTTTTTTGTTACTCTTTCTCTCTCTCTCTCTCGCGAGAATCAAGGTATAACCGTGGATACATGTAGATATGTAATTGACACGATTAAGAAGAAGAAGAAGAAGAAGAAGAAGAAGAAGAAGACGAAGAAGAAGAAGAAAAAAAAAGACGCACACAACACAGCACATCAGAGGCATGTATGACCATGACAAGACAACAATGCATGGAGACTAATATCGTTTTGCATAATTCTCCATGTGGCATATATATATAACGTATTCCACCACCGAGAGTGCCACCCCACCGAGAGTGCCACTTTTTCTTGGCATCGCGAACTTCACGTACGAAAGACAATGCCTCAACAACAGAACGTGATATTTACTCAGCAAGAGGGTAGGCTTACTCTAGCAGTTCAGGCCTATCGTACAGGCCAGTTTAAGAGCATTCGACGCGCTGCAGCAGCCTATAACGTCCATCATCAGCAGATCTC